GGACAGGAGAAGGTGCATTTTGATGGTTTAGATGGTTCTTTTTGTAGTGTGAAACACTAACACAGAGGCTTTGTTTGTGCACAGGATGAGTCTAGATGATTCCTGCTTTCCAGGATTTTTTGGGATGGAGATTCCCATTCTTTAGGAAATTTCCTTGAGTGTAGACTGAGTTAGCCTTTTACCCACATCTGATTAAATTCTGTCTTTGTCAGAAGTGGTGACAGAAACCACTGAATGTGGAAAATGGGCTCTATTTAGCACAGCAGAGCTGATTTATGTGTTCATCAATCAGGTTGTCATTATTGGCTTTCATTCACAAGTGGCATTATCTCTGTAAAATAAAAATTGTTGATTTAAATGCACATGTTAGTAGGACTTCAGAGTTCCCATTCTGACTCATTTTCTTCAACTTCTGGGGAAAAATCCTTTTCTCTCAGGCTGTTTTTCTGGGATGTAAATGGAGCCATAGATAAATCAGAAAAGGATTCACCTCACTTAAAGCAGTACTGTGCCCTGCTCTAGTCTCCTGTTTTTATAGCTATATTCTGTATTATCTTCTGGTTATGGATACATATTTCTTTCCTATCCTTTATGGCCTGTCATTATGATGTATAAAATAGAGTGATTTTTTTTCTGAGTTGCTGTGAGAAGCCTTTTCCTTTCCCTGCTAGAGATGTGAGGTCCTGCAAAGGAGTCTGGTGCTGCCTGAGCCTGATCAGACCAACCTCCCCTCCCATGTGTGCTCTGGGGAACAGGGAAGTAAAAATAAAATGCCTTGTATTTAAGTTCCAACAGGAATTCCTACTGACTCAAATGAGAATATTACTGTGCCTCTAAAACCAAGTCTATGAGATTTTCATTTTTCTTTTCACCCAAGGTTGCACAGAACTGGAACCTTCTATTTTTCAAGTACAAGAGCTGTGCTTTTACAGATGTCTGTTCATTTGACCAACAATAACAAACATTTCATGGCTGCAGTGGTGCAGAAGCTCTGAATGTTAAAGCCCTTTGGTCTGGCTGAGTATCTCTCACAGTCCTCTTGCCAGAAGTTTCTTGGAGGTTTACTTAGTGTTTTGGAAACCATCATTTCTTCTGTCTGAATGAATGGTTTGGCCAGGAAATCAATCTAGCCACATGAGTCTGCTGACCTCCCTACACCCTTTTTGCTTCACCAAATACCTTTTTTTAGCCGTGTGTCCTGGGACATTGGTGGGAGGAGAGCTCCTCATGGCAGACCTGCTGCAGTGCGGGCACGGCCGCTGCTCCGCTGGTGCTCGCGGACGGCAGCAGCTGCCTCAGCTATCACGCAGTGAGCTGCTGCATCTTCCCCAAAAGCTCTCTGGCTTTTTCTTAAACAAACTGTCTCCAAAGAGCTCTACTAATGCAGTTTGCAAAGTACACATGTGCTAGTGCTTTGCAAGAAGAGCACGGTAACGTGTCCTTCTCTTCCGCTCGATCCACCTGGTGTCTGGGGCTCGGGCCAGTATCAAGTGTCATGATTAATGTGTTTGTAGCCATGTGTGCCGCAGAAGCAAAGCTCACGTGGCTGAGGAGGTTGTCTGCAAGGTCTTTCCTGACAGATTTTTTGTGTTTCTTGTTTTTTTCTCTCATTTTGTGAGCACTGCTCTTCCTTCAGCTCCAGTCCTGCCTCTGCAACCATGTTGATGTGACCTGCTTTGTGTGCAAAGGAGATCATTCTCAGCAGGGCTGGCAAACTGCAAACATATCCAAATTTGCAGTTCCTTTAAAAAAGAAAAAAAAAGGTTATGAATATTGTGTGTGTATTCTCAGTGTGGCTTTTGGATAAGGCATGTTTGTAGCCATGGGAATTGGGATGGTGAGATGGAAGCGGTTTGTACCAGTGTAGAGATAAGTCACCCAGCATTGAAGGGCTCTCATGGTGGCTGGAGAGAAGGGAAATTCATGCCAGCCTTTCTCTCCCACCTCCCTGCCTGTTCCCCAGCCAGCAGAGACTGCCTTTCCAGGCAAAATAAGGCTATGTTTCCAGTCTTGGTTGCATGGGCCAGGCAAATTGTGGGCTCTGTCCCAGATGCCTTACTGTGCTCAGCTAGGGCACTTCAGCAAACAAGGAGAAAGAAGGGGACTTCATATCTGACAGGGTTGTATGGCATGACCAGCATGCAGTAACCCTTTGGTAAACAGCCTTTTTCATCACCAAAGGCATGATCTTGAGCAGGAAAATCCAGAGCCTATTTCAGATGGGATCATTGGATAGTGTTAACAGCCTCCCTCTGGAAACCTGTGGGTTGGCTTTTGTTATGGCTGGTGGCTCTGAAACTCTGATGTTCAGTCTGCAGAGGGTTCCTGGCTCTGGGTCTCAGAGTTATGACAAGCAGGCAGGGTGGGCTGTGGGCCAGCTTGGGACTAGGACTGGTTCTGCCCATGTGCTGCCTTCCTGGCAGTGAAGGATTACTGACCATCACTTCCCCAAGACAGCTGAGCAAAGAGTGCCATGGCACAAGGGTTGCTGTGTGTCTGTCCGTGCCCCAGCTGTGGCTGTGCTGCTGGGCAAAGGAGAGGGAGGCAACAAGCCTGGAGCCTGACCCTGCTGGTAAAACATGGGGTGTTTCCTGCTGGGAAGAGAGGTCCCCCTCCCTTCACAGGCATCATGGTTCCTGGACTTGGCCCTGCTGGGATAGGCTTGGCACGTGAGTAACAAACTCTTGGGGTTTTCTCAGGCTTCGTCAGTCTCCCTTCCCTTACCAAAAGTTAAATTGGGAAAGTGCTGTGGACTGGAGGTGGGATTTGGACTGTGTTACTTACAAGGTGTAGTAAAAACTTCTCTGTACATCACCTGAGATGTGGTGAGATCAGCTCATGCTTGGTTCTCCTCTACCTCCCACTGAGCCCAGTCCCAGCAAAGGCAGTGAGTCTGTGATACTTCTGCTCGCCCAAAATCATCCTGGGAGTGGCAGCCCCACAGAGCAATCACTTACAGCTTCTCCTTCTGACTGCAGCCCAGCTCCCTTTGCTGCAGGAATTCCCAAAGTCAATCCTTCTGCAGCAGCAGTTGGAGCATGGGCACCAAAGCCCCTTGGCCAAGAGCCCTCCAGCTTCCCCCACCGCCTGTGGGGCTTTCAGTGCTGCCAGGGGCACGAGGGCACTTGGAAAATCAAACCCACCATGGTGAAACCCTGCATTTGCTGACGCAAGGCACACTGATAACTCGCAGAGCATCACGTGGAGCCTGCCAGGGAGAGCTATCCAAAGCCTATTGAGTGGAAGATAAGCCGGCCCCTGACAAACGTTAGCTGTCACTCGTTGATTTAGCGCTACTTCGCGTACATGAAATAACATCAGCAGGAGCTGGCTTAACCCAGGCCTTTTGGAGATAAGACTGCTACTTTGCCCTTACAGAGGAATGCCAGAAAATCCCCAGCAGCTCCACCTGGGATCAGCTCCACCTGGAATCTGTTCTCCTCTCAGTTCCTCTTGCCCTCACTCCTTTTGTCAAAAAACAGATGATTGAGATTTTCTTCTTGTATGGGAAATTAACTTTGGCTTTCTCTAGCTTGTTAAAATTATTTCTGTATATTCTAAAATTTAACCTTTGATCTCAGGTATGTAATAACTTACTGGTTCAACTTCTGATTGATGCTGTGTATGGCTATAAAACATTCTGACTCTCACGGTCTGCATTGTGCAAGCTGGCAGACAAGGCAGGATGCAATCTCTGCTGCATGCCCAGATAGCTGCAAGCAGCAGCTCTGCCCAGAGGGGATATGATCTCTTCATGCAGGTAGCAGGAGCTGGCTTCTAAAACAATAGAGGTAATGGTTCTCTGCAAGAGTAGCTCTCCCTCAGCAGGTGTACAACCCAGCATCTCTAGTGGTATTTATTATTGAACTGAGAATATCCGGATGCTGCAGTCTATTTTCATGTGTTGTAACTTAGGTTTTTGGTTTCTGCTGGGACAGATAAAAGATTCAGAGATAACAATGTAAAAATGTTTGATCACATCAGTTGGCTGTTCTCTGATGTACAGCCTGAGATGTTTCTTGTAGGAGTGTGACAGTGTCTGAATTTTGTAAAAAAATCTTCGTCTTAAACTATATGGGATTAAACATCTCAGACCCTGATAGGGAGGGGAGGGAGTTGCCTTAATGTGATTTCAGAAAGTTGAAAGCAGGGCACTTATTCCTGGAGGGCAATTGGGAAATCTTTGAGCAATTTGTTTGTTTTGGTTTTAAAGCTTGACTGACATTGGCACATCTGTGGTCTGTTGCATTTGGAGTAAGGAAGGTTGCAGCCCTTTCTAAGGTGCCAGTCTGAACATGTGTATCAGTAACTGAGGTTGGATGCAGTTCAGCAGAATCTCCTGCTTCCATATAATGAAACTATTTTTTAATTTTAAACCTTATTGAGAGTTTCCTTTGGTTTGAACAGTTTGTCATATTTTGTAATTGTTCATTCCATTTTCTTAGTTCTAGAAAATTTGTGAACTCTTCTGACAGATTGCTTTCAGAGGCAAAGGAGATAATTTTAAGGTGCTTCAAAGTTAATAAGTAGTCTAAGTAAATCATATCACTGGGGTCAGGAAACAGCTGAGAAACAATTATGGAACCTGACAATGTGTTGGTGGCTGTCAGGTCTCCTGTAGTAGGTCTCCTTTTTGTGCTTATTTTCTTCCTGGCAATTCACAATGAAATTGTGGGAAGAAGCTGAGAAATTCAGCACTTAGCATGAAAATCAGGCTTCCATAAAAAAAAAAAAAAACTGAATAAAACCCTGCCTTATAAAAAGCCCTGCTGTCTGTGATCTTTCATAAGGACAGGTAGTGTGGTAGGAAATGAGAGAGGTGTGTGAGATTGTGGGAAATGCCCATTGCAGGGCATATTCCTCTCTGTGGTGTGCAATAAAGTTTGCATAAAGTCCATAGGTCAGGAAGCCTTTCCCCAAGGCAGGCTGTGCTCTGTGCTCGGTGCCGCGGGAGCAGAGGGCTGCTGGGATGAGCTCTCACCTGCGCCGTTTCCTTGCAGACGCATACTCGGTCTCTGCCAACGACAACGGGGGCAAGTCTGACTCGGTGGCCAACTTACAGCCTCAGCCATCCCTCAACTCCATCCAGAGCTCTCCGGGCCCCAAGCGCTCCACCAACACCCTGAAAAAATGGTTGACCAGTCCCGTGCGCCGCCTGAACAGCGGGAAGACCGAGAGCCACATCAAGAAACAGAAGAAGGTGCGAGATGGCAGGAAGAGCTTTGACCTTGGCTCACCAAAGACTGGAGATGAAACCACTCCTCAAGGAGACAGCGCAGATGAGGTGTGTGCTGGTGTTTCTTGGTGTTCGTTATGGGAAGTACCGTCTCCTCCATGGGGTGTGAGTCATGCTTGAGTAAATGCAGTTCCCTTAGGGTCCGGAGGGAACAGCGAATCATACATAAAATTGTATTGTTGCAAACAGCTTTATCATCCAAAGAGCAATGGAATATATAAGGAATAGTGCTTCACAGTTTGCATATATTATTGTCCTTTGATTAAGTTTTTAATAGCCTATTAGAAAGCTGCCATGGACAAAAATGAAGTTATCCTTGAGCAGCTGTTATCACTTTCTGCTGAGGTTCATATCACCTTTATGCTACCATGGCAGTGTAATTCCTTAATGAGAGAAAATACTCCAAGAAATAGCCATGTCTCTGTTAAATCTGCTATATAGCTGTACCTGCAGTTTTTCTGCAGACGTGTTCTCCACAGAACGACACTTTCCTGATAAAGTGAATGAGGAATTAAAAGCCAAAAATGCAGAAGGTACTAACTGAACACAAATAAGAGGAACACGTTTTAAAAACTGTACATCAAACCATTTTTATTTAAATGAAAAACAGACAGATGTAGCTGCCTTAGCTGTATGAATGACCTATAAACTGTATTTCTGTAAGCCTTAGAATGCACCAGGATTAACCAGCAAAACCTTATGTCTTTACTGCTTCTCTTCCATTACCTGCAATTCCCTCCATCCAGCACAATATTGAACTGAAAAGAGAAAAGAATCGTGTCCTTGTTTCTAATTTATTTAACTTTTCTTCAGAAGAGCAAGAAGGGTTGGGGAGAAGATGAACCAGATGAAGAGTCTCACACACCTCTTCCTCCTCCCATGAAGATTTTTGACAATGATCCAACCCAAGATGATATGGTAAGGCCTCCCTTACTATATAATTTTTGTGTTTGAGTGCATTTCTTGCATAGCTATATCACAGTGGTTTCGTAGTGGTCTTCTGGTATCAAGGGCCTAGACTTGTGGTTATAAGAGTCTCCTGTGTACAAATCATAATCTAATACCTTTCTCCAAGTGAATTTACAAACAGTGCTAGATAAGCAGTTTAGCCCTGGCATCCCATTTCATGGCAGGCTGATGGTGTGCCCGTGCTGTGTGTGGGCAGAAACTCTCTTCAGATTGATAATGTGTGTTTGCTACGTCTGTTTGAGAAGTGCTGCTGGTGTCTGCCTGTAGCAGTGGAAATGGTGTTTGATGGCACCATGCTGGTGGTGGTAGTTCTCTGACATTAAGTCAGGATTTGCTGTGGTAACTGGCCCTGCAGGTGGCTTGCAGAGTCCTGTGTTGGACTCAGGATGAGAACCTGTGAACATGGCTGAGACAGTGGTTTGCATTCACAGCCAGTCCTGTCTGTACATGTGCCCCCACCCTTTCCTGGTGCTGTCATCTCCCTTGTAGAAAACCATCCTCCTGTTTTTCAGTTTCCTGCCTTCCTGCTGGCATCTGTTTTTAGCACTGCAACTTCTGTGTTGCTGTCCTCTGATTGTAATTGCTGCAGGCAAAGAGGCAAGGATAGGGGAGATTAATAAATTGTCAGGAAAGAAAAACCAAAACAACCCAGAATGTTCTTGGGGAAGGTTCAAGCAGAAGTTTGGAAATACAGAGAGAGGAGGATGTAAATATTTCTGGGACTCAAGGAGCAGAGTGATGGAGTAAAGGATTTGGGGGCTTGCTGCTAATCTGTCAGGAAATGTTATGACATTGTGGTGGCAGCAGGAGCAGAAGGAAGCAGCTGGAGCTGTGGACTCCTGCCCTCGGAGTGCTCTGTGTGCTCATGGCTGTCTGGTGAGGGGCAGAGGCGAAAGGTCGGCAGAGCAGAGCCCTGGTGGATCCATGCCCAGCACAATTGCTCCTGGCTTGTTCCCCATGGTGTTTAGCTAAATGTTTGGGACTTCGTTTGCTTTTTGGTGTTGGGGAGATGATTTTATTTTGGTTTTGTTTTTAAAGAAAAACAGAAGTGCTGCAGCTCGGGTCACTGTTTTTGGTGTCCAACATGCCATGTGATTTCAGTATTTCTTAAATATGTTTCTGACAGCATAAATGTCGTGGAACTAGGCTATTTTCTGCTTCAGATGTCTGAGCTTTACAGAGTGTTTTGGCATCCTTTTTCTTCACCCATTCCTAAAATAGAAGATTAAATAGAGCAAGATGCATCTGAAACCCCTTTTTCCCTCGTGTTTTTCTTGCTCTATTCAACCTTTTCTCAGAGGGGTAAAAAACTTAAGCCCATAGGGTCCTGAATTTCCTGGCACAGAAGTACCATATTAGCAATGTTTGAGCCGTGCTGGAGCTGAAAACTTTTTAATGGCATTAATTTGAGCACAGTGTCCTGGTCATGTCCTCCCTCTGTGCTTACAGGCATGGGCTTAGGCTGGCCCAGCAGCAGTGTGGGGCAGTAGCTGTGGTAGGTGGGAAATGTCTGCAGCTATGGGAGGTGACACTTTTCCCTGAGTCCATCTGCCAGGCAGCAGTAATTGTGCCCCTCTGCTCCTGGAGGCTCTCATAAAGACAAATTGCAAGATATTTTCATATTAGAAATTCATAATTTGATTTCTGATGAATAGAAATACCCTATTTCTATTTTCCCCACTCAGAGCAGACTATTTTCCATCACAGAAGTTTTATTTAACCCTGAAATTCTTGTAGGCAGCAAATATTTTCATGCTTCCTTCAGAATCCTGCAGTTATTTACTTTTCAGAGATATTGAGCAATTTCAGTTAAAATAAGTGACAGCAACAGCTGTTTAGTGCCTCCAAAAATTGGGCTCCTCCGGCCCAAATGGCTATGTTTGGCAGTTATCATCAATGTATTTGTCCAGTATCTCTTCAGAGTCCTTATTTTTAGTCTTTTCCTAGACACATCTGTCTGCATTGCAGGTGAAACAGGCAGGTTGAGTTTTTACATTAGTATGAGATTCCTGCATTACCAGCCTAATTCCTCAATTACCAGCCTGATTACCTGTAGTTTTTGTTGTTGTTGCAATTAGAGCTGTTGATTAGGTGTATTATTTGTGAAAGAGGTCTTGATGAATAGCAGTGTGTTCATGTTTCTGTTCTGTCACAAGGCTTCTGGTTAGGATTAATCTCCTTTGCTTTTTTTTTTTTTCCCCCCTTCTCCTGGGCTACTCAACAGGAGTAGCCTCCCCAGAGAGCTGCTGAAAAAGGGTGGCCAGCTGCCTAATTCCTGCCATCCCATTTTCCCATCTCCCTCCCCAGCCCTGTTTAATCTCAGATGGGTGTTTGCTGGCACCTGCACAGTGACTTCACTGAAATAGCTGCCCTCCACAATACTTTCATTAAGCAGCTGTGGGATGAATAAGCTTTTTCATAATTTATAAAAATTTAGCCATGCTTTAGTCTGTGTCAGCCTGACAACAAAAAGAGATTGTCTAAGGGCTTGTAGTTTTAGTCAGTGCTTGTGTTGCCTTCAGAAGAAATGTATATGCAGGTGAGCTAATAAATCCCAATTCCCATAGCTACCAAGTGGGTTTGGGTGTTCAGACTGAGGTTTCTTAGGACAGCAATCAAGGGGTGATTTTGCCATTGTAGAGCAAAAAACTTAAACTAGAACAGAGTTTTTCTGTCCTCCTGTGCCAGGTGCCCAGGAGAGGTGAGACGTGTAGGGGTGTTTTGTCTCCAGTGGTTGCAGAAAGGGGACAGAAGAGTTTTAGATGACTGAAGTTGCATGAGTGGGAGATGTCATCCTAAGTGCATTTGGAGTTGCAATTGATCTGTGAGGAAAGATGAGGGATGATTTGTTCCCCACCCAATTTCTTCCCCCCTGCCTGAAATGCCATGTGTACTTTCTGCTTAACTGCTTTTATCAAATATGCATGTATGGGAGAGGGGAAAATTTCTTACATTTGCAGTAAGAAAATCAATTTTCTGGAGCCTGTAAGACTGTAGATGGCCTTAGAAGGAGGAACCAACTTTAAGAGAATTGTAACCTGTTTGTAAATGAGCTTCACTTCTTTGATGCTGTTCCCTGGTTCCAGTCCTGGAGCTGCTGCAGGGAGATGTGCAGCCAGAAGTGGATGGCAATTCCATGCTTGTCTGACACAGCAGCACTCACTCACTTGACCTACATGTGTCCCTCTCACCCCCCAGCTCCCGTTCCACGTTCCTTCTCCTGTCTCAGAAGCTTCTTCACTGACCGCCTGGTTTCTTTCTCCCTTCTCATCCTGCTAACTTGCTTTTCCTTTGCCACCTGGTGTCTTGCAGTCCTCTTCTTTGCTAGCTGCTCGACAGAGCTCCTCCGATGTCCCAACTGCTGCGGATCTTGTCAGTGCAATAGAAAAGTTGGTCAAAACTAAGCTGGTAAGTTTAGTGTTGTGAAAACCGTGTACACAACAGGCCCAGTGTGACTCCAAGGAAGGGCTTTAAAGGCTACCTCTTGTTCTGGTTTCCTTGCTTTCTACCTTCATCTGCTCTGCTTTTATTAACCCTGTGTGCTCTGCTTCTCAGTAGTGTCCAATATTTTGCTCCCCTGTGGGATGAAGCCTACATCTCACACAAGCTCTGCACTGCACAGTCAAAAGTCACTTCTGCAGTGGGCTTTGCAGAGCACGAGCTACTCTACTGTACAATTTCTGGGGTCTTGTTAGTATTCAAATATTTTACACAGTGGGATGTTTTGTTTGTTTGAAAGCGTGTTCTGAGGCACAGGGTTTTACTACCCAGCGTGAATTTGTTTGGTGTTCTGGTTTTGATGAAAAGACTCTCTAAAGAGTAGAACTGCTTGAAGTATCACAGCTGTGCTTTAATTTTACAAGGATTCATGTGTCACTTTTAATCTGCCTTGTCAACTCTTTCTTGCAGGGAGTGGAATAAGCAATAAAAATGCTCTGGGATTAATTTGTTCAAAAATTATCATGTCGTGTGTTCTCACTGTCTGATCCCCATGTCTGGTGGACAAGGAGTAAATCCTGTCTCATATCTTGGCTCCTTTTAAGTTTTCCCAGTGCAGTTCAAAAATGTTAATATCAAAGTTACACCTTTTTCTACATGTCCCAGGACCTCTAAAATTAGCTAAATGCTTTCTCTGAATAAATTTAACATAATTAACAAGCAGGGATATGATGAGCCTACAAAGGTTCATTTCCTTACATCTACTGGAATGATGAAGAGAGTAAAAAAAATCTAAAAATCCCCACAGTGATCATTAAATTACTGCAACTCTGAGGAAGCATCTTTACCTAGTGAATCATTTGAGAAGACTTTGGTATTTTCTCAGTTTGAGATGTTGGTACATGAAGAGAGTCAGCGTTCACAGAGTGCTTCATAAGGCGTGACTCGTAAAGGAGCTCTTTGTGGCATGGGAAACCAAGAAGGCTATTCCCAGAAAATTCACTTTAAATAGTTTTATTCCATTGAGGGACTAACACACTGAAAAGTATTTCATTAATCCAGTCAGACATATTTTTTGATGATATTTTATTTTCTCTCCTCCACGTGCAGTCTATTAGACTATTACAACTAATTTCAAGGGATTTGGGGCAAACATTAATTATTGTGGAACCTTACTATGTGTCCATCTATTTCCATTTTGTGTTTTATTTTACTACAAGAATCCCCCATTCAGCTTTTGGCAGAGGAGCTTTTAACCACATGTAGCTTAACAATGGTCCTGATTGAGACATCAGGATATTTCCAGGTTGATTTGAAATAACTTGGAAGAAGTTTTTTTTCTCAGATCTACTGGAACATCTTTTTCCACCTTCTAACAAGAGGATGACAACTCCGCTTTAAGGCTTTTTTTGTGGGGTCCTACATCAACCTAAAACTAGTTTGGCTGTGTTTTATGAAATTCTGCAGGAGAGTATTTCTGAATACTTTGTAGTGTTGGTTGCAGAAGTGACTTGAATACTGATGCTGAAGTTTAAGGAGAATGTTTATTCTATTGTTCTTTGGGGTTTTTTTAGACCCTCGAAGGAGGATCTTACCGAGGAGGCTTAAAAGATGCCACTGGCTGCTTAAATGAAGGAATGACGCCTTCAACTCCCCCACGAAACCTTGAAGAGGAACAAAAAGCGAAAGCAATGAGAGGCAGGATGTAAGTTATGTTACTGGTTCTTTCCAAAATATGTTCTCTAGAAGGACACACAGCAGCTCTCCAGGAGTACTTCGTAGTCAGTGAGTGAGCCTGGAACTGAGAATAAAACCTTGCTTGCTTCCTGTTTTTCTTAACATGTAAAAGCACTTCATAAAATCACTTCCACACACAGGAAATTCGTCGTCATTCAAAAATGTACAGCTTTTACACCAGATTGCAAATATCTATTGCTGTAAAAGCCTCTCAAGAGCTCAACAGGTATTACTGAGATGTTTGCATTGGTAGTTACTGCATTGCCAGAGGTGAAATCAACTCTCAGAGCAGGGATATGTGGTTGACCTTATTAGCTACCTTTGAGAAAAAGAACAGAGAATCCCTCTAGGATTTTTTTAAAGAAATATTTTTTGCCCTCATTATTAGCAAAGGAAGGGGCAGGATTCAGATGCATCTGTGGTGGAAACATGCCACAGAAAAGAAAGTTCCATTTGGGAAACTCTAATGTTCATGGCAATGGGAGGAAAAAGAAGTGATGACAGCTCATGAAAGTTGTTTTTTAAAATTAGCTGTACACTGCCTTAAATTTAAGAAAAATAATGCTTATTCCTTCAAAGCCTGTAATGATTAAAGCATTTCTTAAATGTGTGTTCAGCTGAAGAACATGGAGCAACAGGATCAAGAATTATATGAAAGAAAGCTGACGTGGCTGTTTTTTTTTTTGTATCACCTCTTCCACTTACAACAGTAACTGCAATGATCTGATCAAATGGTAGATTGAGGGGAAAAGAACATTCCATACAGCTCTGATGGGATGTGGTAAGGGGAGAGGTGGAAGAAGAGCTCCCCATTTGGGAAAGATGCCAAGTCAGGGAAGAACAAGGAGGTGGTTAAGAGTAGAAGATGAAGTAGAAGCAAAGTGTCACAGATCTGTGGAAGCCATCATTTGCTCCTGCAGTTTGTTGCAGGAAGCCAGAGAAGGGATACAGTGAGGGACCACAACTCCCAGCAGCAGACAAGAACATGACAGCCCTGGATGTGTTTCTGGATGGCAGAAGTTTTCTACAAGGCAGCTGTCAGCCTTCCTGCAGGGAACCTCTCTGCCCATGACTGTCTCCTAGAAGCTCCTCAGTATTGCAGGATCTGGAGTTCCTCTGGTAGCAATTCATTAATTAGGTGGCTGGCAGCAAACTGCAGGTTGCAGTTTTAGTGCAGAGGCCTCTGCCACTGTAAGCTCAGCTACAGGAACGCTTCTGGCAGGGGACTGGCAGCCTATTATGTGCAATTAGTAGCTGCCAGAATTCCTAAACAGCAGGATGTTTAGGAGCACCTGCTAGTGGCTTTCAGCACAAGACATCTGTCTCCCCTCCAGCTCCCTTCTGTCTGTGTTCTGTGTCCCTGGAGCTTGCTGGGTTTAATTCCATAGTCATGTGAGGCAGCTGATCTCCCAGCTCGAGCTGTGACCCTCCAATCCCCACAAAACAGCAGCACAGGCATGGGCAGCAATGTCCTCTGTTCCTGGCAGCACATCCATGCCAGCAGTTAGCCCTGGTGTGAGGAAACTCCTTATTCCATCAGGCTTGATTGCTGCATTTCTGTGAGGAGTAAGACGATAGTCTTATTGAGTGTCATTGTGCAGTATAGGTCTAATACAGAGTTTCCAAGATATCCAGCTATTCAGACTCAGTCAGAAATCCTGTTCATGTCACTTTAAATACAGCTGTGTAGTCAATACCTGCTGGTGACCAGGGCACTTTGCAAACAGCTCGCTGCCCTTGCTCCCTGTTATCAGAGCAGGAGACGAGTGAACTTGAATTTTTGCCTACATGCATCTTAGAAACCTTATATTTGGGAGTACCTATAAGGTGCTGCATCAGGTACTTCAGAGAATGAGTAGAGATGGTCAAGGCTGAATATTCCTGCTTGGTAGGAAGAGAGGAGCAGAGGGAACCCTGGTGCTGAATTTAAGCACTGGATTTGCAGAACCTGAATCCTCACAGAGGTGTGAATTGGCAGGTTTTGTCTGTTCACCAGAAACGTGGTTGCTGCACTGATTTTCAATAAACACACAGTTGCCTGCATGTCCTGCAGTGTTATGTACTATAAATACCTGCTGCTTCATTTTTAGAGCAGAACTTGGCAGGGTGGATCCTTGCAGTAACCTTGTAGGTGGGAGATGTTCTTCCATTCCCTCCACAGCTCTCTGTGCCTGTTGGGAGCAATGCAAACAGAGGTGGTGCTGGCTGGAAAGTCCCCTCCTGGCCCTCCTCTCTGGGCAGAGGGAACAGTGGAGCCTGTCCCAAGGACAGAGGGGACTGTGGAGCCTGTCCCAAGGGCACGGTGGGTCAGGCAGCCCGAGGGGCTGTGCAGCACACGCCTGCTCAGGCCATGTGCTCTGGGAAAGAACAGCCTCTTGCCTTTTGCCTCACACGTGTTTGCTGCCCAGGCACAACTTGGCACAGAGCTCCGGAGAGCACAAGAGTCTGGTGTGGCTGCTGCCAGCCCTGCCTGCTGCCAAGGGGGCTGGATTTCACTCTCAAACCAACAAGAAGCTGTTTGACTTTTTTCTGCCACATGGCCAAAGTATCGTGTCTGCTTTGTCTGAGCAAGGGACACGTTGCAAGCGCAGCAGGAGCAGGATTTTTTTTCTCAGTAGCCTCTCATAACTAAATCTCTCCTTGCAAAGTGCCAGTCTGGTTGGCTTTTTCTCTCCAGGCTTTGTCTTTGCACTGTTAGCTCTCAGCCCTATCCCTTCAAGGGGGTCAGTCTGGTGTTTGATGTGGACAGAGCAATATCAGACATGAAAGCACTCCTCTGTCTTGTTAGCCTTGTTACTGCCATAGCAAACTTGAGGACAGATGGAGTTTACTTGTCATATGCCAAATCTATGTATTGGCATAATTGAGAGACAAACTGTCTGCAGCAAGCTGTAACTTTTTGAAATTATCCTCAAAAGAACATTATGTGATTAGTCAGTTTGAGTGAGGAGGGGCTTTTTTTAGCTTGCTGTTGTTTGCATGCATCAGGCCTTCATCAGATGACTTCCCCTACCTGGGGTTAAGACATTGGACACCCACACATAGATTACCTGCTCCAAAAGATTAAGCTCTTAGCTATGACAGCAGAGGGGATTTGTTTTCCAAGTGTTTGAACTTCCAAATTGATACTTATTGATGTATCTTGGGTGAAGCCAGAGGGACTGGGGCAAGGATTCCACTCCTGCTTGCTGCAGAATGGGTCAGGACATGTGTCATCACAGGAGATGGGGACAGGAGATCAGGGAGAGGTAGTTTAAGGTACAGACAGCTGTTTGTGCTGCTGTTCTTGCACCATCCTGAGACATGGGGGGGAAGAGGGGTAGCAGGAAAGAATGGTTAAGAGATTTGAAACCACTCTGACCTGACATGTGATGTTTTTGTCTCTCACATTCCACTGAGCTCTGAGTGAAGGGTGAATTGTGTTATTTGATCTGGATGATGATGGGGTTTTATGGTGAGGTTGTATGTGGTAAAGGAACAAATGGTAATGCCAAGGAATATGGTCAAATACTTGTGTGTTCTGTTTTAATTTAGGTTTGTCTTAAATGAGCTGGTGCAGACTGAAAAAGACTACGTCAAAGACTTGGGAATTGTTGTGGAGGTGAGCTGAAGCAAACCCTGCTATGCAAAATGTTTTCCCACTAAAAAGCACCATGCTGACAAGTGACAACAAAAAATACAGCATGAGAAACAAACTGCTTTATTTTGCAGTCTGCTTCCATGGTCCCCTTCTCATGTTGACAGAAACAAGAAGAAATGCCTTTGGAAACTATTTTTGTTTCCATCTAGCAAATGTTGTATTTTAGGTTCAATTCCAGTGTGCAAAGGTTTTTCTTGGCTACCCTACTTGTGACAAACTCTTTTTGCTGTAATGCAGCTTTGGAGGCATTGGTGGAGAATTAACTTGTGATCCTACACTTATTTCATGCTTTTCTTCCCATCATGTTGGGTAATGGTAACACATAATTTCCTTGAATTTGCACCTGAACTTATGTCCTGTGTCTGAGTACCTTTCCAGAAGCTGGGCCTGGAAATGTTTTGAGGTGCATGTTTGTCCTGTAGATTATTGTTTTGCAAAAAAGTCTGAGGTAAAAGAGAGTTTGAGGGGTTTTTGCATTAAAAACAGTCTTCTTTTTTAAGCTTCAACTTCAAAGATTTGGCTGATCCCTAGGGATCACCTGTCACATCTAACTCAGTACAAGGTTCAGTTTTTTTCCCAGCAAGAACTCAGAACTGGAGACATGTGATTCACTAGTGGCATTCACTAGTCCAGAGAGAATTATCAGTCTATCTAACAGTGATTTTCAACAGCTTCCGAACTTGAAAACATTTGTGTTATGTATGCACCACTGGCAAACCTGACAGGGCTGTCATGCTCCAAAGACTTACAAAGAAACTCTCAGGAGGTGTGAGAAATCCCGTTCTCGTGACTCTAAACTTACTGCTTGGCTTTGTGCTCCCACAAGATACTCATGGTGATGAATGGAAGAGATCTGTACAGTCTATAGACTGTATAGACTCTATAGAGTCTGATTTCTTCCTCTTGAGCAAAGAGCTTGACAAACTACTTTGTTTAACTTTTATCAATTGCTTGTCACTTCAATTACATCTAATAATGTTTTGTATAAGTATTGCAGATATTCTAAACAGATCCTTTAAAGTTTTCTTTTAAGGAAACTGTGTAATTTAAAGTATCTGCTTAGGTTTCTGTTTTGTAAATGTTCGAAAGATATTTTAAGCATTTTCAATGTAAAAAATCCTGGCATTAAACTTTTGCTTCTGTAAAAAAGAAAAATACTGTAATTATGCTCCCCCTTCAAATGTGTCCTTTGCTGAATCAGTGATCCTTAATCCTAAAGGGCTTCATGAAGAGGATGGAAGAAAAAGGAGTTTCTGAAGATATGAAAGGGAAAGACAAAATTGTATTTGGCAATATTCACCAGATCTATGACTGGCACAAAGAGTAAGTTTTTGGTTTAGTTCCTCTTTAAACACCTCCTAACCTCTTGTCCATAGAGGATTGCACTATATGGTGTCTGTATGTCTAAGCTGCTTTTAATTGAATATCATCAGGTCATTCAGGGCTGAACTTCCAAAGGACTCTCTTTAGATTATTCTCTCTGTTGGTTTGTAAGTGCTGCTTAATAACATCACAAATCCAGGATACCTTGAATCCTGAGAAGATGTTCTGATTCATGTGCTTTTAGCCACAGTTTCTCAATACCCCAAATCCTGATATAGGGCTTTGTTTACCCAGCCAGAACCAGCACAACTGCATGATGGAAGGCATTGTGCTTACCTGAAATCATTTTTCTCAGGGAAGTAAGAACTTTGATGTTGATAGCTTTGCACTGCCTGGCTCCACAGGAGGGTGTTTGTCATGCTGTCTGTGATCAGGTACAGCTTTATGCTGGCTCAAACACCGTGCCAGCAGAGCTGGTCAGTGTGACAGGGATGCTTACACAGGAGGCTGCCCTGTGTCAGTTCTGTGCTGCTGATGGCTCTGTCACTCTTGCTGCTGAGCCCCAACAAGAGGCTTGCCTGGGAGGTTCCCTGTGGTCCATCCACAGCTCCCGAGCTACTGCTCATAAACATTCCCAGCATCACTCTCAGGGAGTTGCTGCTTGTGGGGTGTTCACTGGATCTTCAGAGAAGCTACTGGGGCTGCCATAAGTTCCTTGAGTTTCTTGGGTCACAGCTGTAGCCTCAATGCATCCTGCTGACAGGCAGTAGCAGTGTGGAAAGTCATGGTTTTCTTCCTGTGTCTCAGCAACATCTTCACATGCAGCTGATGGGGTCATGAAGGCTGATCATACCAGTGTGTTTGGCTAGAAGGGTGATAAAATGTAAATTGCTTCAAGGTCCTTCTCCCCTGAAAGCCCTTGCATGCTTTGGCCAAGCTGATGCTTTTGGCTCTGAGTTAGGAACTCCATTCCTTGAAAATCTTACCCACAGGAGTAGATTTTGAAAAGCTGCTGGAAACACAAGCCCCGGGCCATTTCCCGTGTAACTTTGTGAACAGTGCCTGGCTTATGGGCAATATGGTCATCATTTCAATTCTGCCACTCAGAAATTCTCTGCAGCTCCAACTAACTAAACTTTGAGCATGCATGTACAGACTTGAACAATGGGCATTAGGCTGGATCTTCCTTCAGCTCTGGACATTTCCCTCACCCAGGAAGCACAGTATCCTTGCTGTCGTGTGTCCCATAGGTGCTTATCCCATGGCCTGTCCTTATGTTCTGACAGATGACCTTGTGAGCACAAAGTAAAAAATGTCAGAGAAAGCTTCACTTTATGTTAAGTTGATATCAGAAAATGGAATGTGTTTACCAGTGCCATTCCTTGATTAAGTGTGAGGATAGGAGTTTTCTGTAACACAAATGGAAAGATTCCCTATTTTTAGCTCTGTATATCTGGGTCAAGAAGTCTATTTAAATGCAGATGAATGTAGCATTTATAGAGGATTTGGTTATGGAAGCAGCCGTATCTAATGGTAGTAACGGAGATTTTTAATTGGGACATCTGTCCAATTTGCATCGTTTTTCATTTTTTGAAGTTCTGGGATTTCTTGGGATCAGAAAGCATGTCCTCTCACAAAATCTGGCTACTGTTGCAAATCTGTGAAGGCTGAAATTTGAGACTGAAATCCTGAAACGAAAAAGAGGAAGATCATGTCTGAATTTGCCTACCACATAGAAAAATCTAGCAGTGTTTCTGAAGTTTTCACCTCACTTCTAGGCATCCCAGTATATTCTATGAGCTAGAATGAATGACCTCCCTGAAGCTGCAAGTCAGGATGCAGATGATGTTTATGAATTACTGTGACTATTATGAATTAGATATTGTGATTTATTATTAAATTAAAACCAGTGGGAAATAGAACTTAACCATAACTCCACCAGCAACACATGTTGATTTATTTATTCAGGTGGAAACATATAGCAAGCTCTTTCATGTTGACCAGTACAAATCTGCTCATGGAACTGAGAACTCCTGGTAAAACTGGAGTTTTCATAAGCTGAGTTTTCACAAGCATTTTGGTATATGGGAGGGTTTTACTTCTGGAGGTCTCAGTGAAGGAAAGCAACTCTTGCAATCAGATAGTTGTCAACCCTTTCTGAAAACTGAAACCACTTCAGAGTAAAGAAGAGCAGACAGTTTGCACATTTCACAGCTCTCATCTAATGATTTAGAAATCCCACCATTAAGGGCTGAAGCCAAGCTTACCTTTTAATTTATTATTGAATAGTGGAGTTAAAATGCCACTGTTACATCTGAAGGATGACTAGTTTGCTGCTGGGATGACCTGAAGTATTCTGAAGTGTTCATATCCTTTCTTTTAGCTTTTTCCTGGGTGAACTGGAAAAATGTCTTCAAGAACCTGAGCGTTTAGCACAGCTTTTTATTAAGCATGTAAGTTTTATTTTGTTTCCTGTATCTACTACAATTGCCTTCTAGGATGTGATGGCTCCTTTTCAAAACCACCTGTTTGTGTTGACTTGATACTTTTATGTGTCTAAACTGAATTTAAACATAAAGTTTCCCCATAGTTACACATTTTCAGTGGGCAGCTGGATTGCACTAAGGCTTTAATCATTGTCTTCTTGCAGACAACTTACTTGGGAGGCAAAATTGATGTGGCCAAGGACATCTGCCAAAATACCATTATGGCAGGTACTTGCCAGCTGCTGTAATTTACATGTTCATGTGATGTTAGCCAAAGCATAACCCTAGAGGAACTTTCAGACCTGTCAGTGTGGGTGTAGCATCTCTCACTGGCCACAACCCAGAAATCTCCCCTTGCCTAAGTGCAGATGTGGAGAACAGAACCAGTTACCGAATTTCTTTCCTGCTTTAGCAAACTAAATCTTTGATTAAACCAAAAATAAGGAAGACCAAGGAGAACATCATAGCAACTTTCTACCACCTTTTAATAGCAGAAGGGTAGCCAATATCTCACGTGGCTGCTGTGCCTCTTGCCTTCACAGGAGCGGCGATTGCACATGTATGTGGTGTATTGCCAAAACAAGCCCCGCTCTGAGTATATAGTAGCTGAGTATGAAACGTACTTTGAGGTAAGCACAGCTCATTGTACATTATTACTGCTTACAGCTCTGAGTCCAGGTCAAGGAGACTGTTCTGTGACCTCTGGGGTTTGCCTAAAGCAAACTCCTGAATATTTGATACTGTGTGTGGTGCTGAGGTCTCTGCCGTATGGAGAAAGTGTTATTATTTAATTGCTTTCAAATTCTCATATTGTGAATTTCTAAAAAATATTGATAATAAATACTGATAATTCTAATAAATATTGGTAATTTCTAATAAATGTTTCTAAAAAATATACTAACTGTGTGTGGCCCTCAGAGTACCACAAATGCACTAATTTCTGTTCCAAGTAAAACAGGACTTTTAAATCAGTAGTGTACAAACAAGAGGGGAGGTAAAAGCTGTTGGAGCTGGGTGGTGCCTCTCATAAATCCCCAGTAACTCTGTCTGTTTCAAGAAGTCTTCGTGACTAGACACATTTTGATAGTAAAGTGAAAGAAGCTTGTTTAACAAGGGAAAGATGTTTCCTTTCACCCCAGAGCAGGAGGTTGCTCTGCAGGACTCACTGGTGAGCTAATCCCCAGTGCAGTGGGGAGGGTGACCCTCAGTCCTTGCTGGGCTGCTGGCTCAGCTCAGAGCAGGAGGGATCCTGAGCTTCCCAACGCCTCCCAGCTCAGTCACAGCTTCTACCCAGGCCTTGCCTAAATAGGATGTGCCAGATTTTTATATCCTCAGAAATTCCCTCTTGCAAACAAAAGATTAAGAACAGACCAACTTTCAGTGGTCGTAAGTCTCTGCTGAGACATTTTATCATGTTGTCTGTCTTACTCTGTGATTGTTTGCAATTGTTTTTAATCCTCATTTTTTAGGAGGTTCAGCAGGAAATAAGCCAACGGCTGACCATCAGTGACTTTCTGATTAAACCCATTCAAAGAATAACTAAATACCAGCTTCTTCTCAAGGTGAGTGAAAAATACAGTTTGGATTTAACTCTAGTCTGCATGTTGCATTAGATGACTGTTATTTTAAATCAGCCTTAGACTTAACTGAGGAATAAATTAATCAAATTAAGAAGAAAGAGGGATCTGCTCTCTGAGCTTGCAATGACAGAGGCCTGTGGAAGGCATCCAGAGAGCAGGAGGCCACATCTGTGTGAGTAGTTTGTAATTTAGGATAGTAAACAGATTTTTTTTTTTAGACTTTCTTTTGAAATTTTTTAATAGAAGAGTACACTTCAAATAGGACTTTTCTTCCTCTGAAGTTTCAGAGCAAACTTTCAATTTTGTTTTTAACTGGAACAAAGATACACAAGCATACTGCTAAAGTCTGTCTTAGGTGCTGAATGGCATGCTTCCAGTAAATGCTGTAGCCTCCATTTCTGAATATCTGTCTTCAAATTAGCTGAAGAAACTTATTTTCAGAATATTCTGTTGTCTTAAAATCTGGGGAGCTCACCACAATTTTTTTCCCAAGGAGCCTGACCACTCTGGTTTATGCTGACTTATCCATAATGACAATTATACAGCATTTTTGAAAATTCATCCCGAGGGGTCTAAAGCCAGGATCTAAAATCAGGCACGTCTAAACCCACCCTGTAATCTCCAGCAGCACCGGGGCTCTGAGCTGGTTTCTCCTCTTTTTTGGACTATATCCCAGCAGGCTGCCATCAGCTCAGGTTTGGGAATTGCCCACTAGCAAAGGCACAGCAGTGCATTCCCCAAAATGCCAAAAGGAAAAGAAAAATCTCTGCAAGCTTTAATGAGACTAATTATATATATTACCAGAGCAAAATAAGTGATGAACCTTACCTGCCCTGCCTATTGGTAAGGTCTTACCAATTACAGGTTAATACCTGGCAGTATTAACATGTTAACAGCTCCCACCGAATTGAACAGCATCCAGGAGGAGACTTGAGAGTTAAAACCCCACAGAGTACAGCTTGTGGCTTGTAACTAAGCCAGTGTAGGCTTTGGGGAGAGAATTCATCTCCAAAATGAATTAAGATTTGTCTTACTGCCTTTGCACTGCAAACAGGTAGGTCCTGGCCTTTGCACATTCAGAGGTGTCGTGTCCGTGACTGCTGGCTTGGGGCATAATGGAGAGCTCTTGGCTGGAGCACTACAGTAACACAATGAGAACAAGATTTGGAATGAAGTGTACAAAACAGTCTGCTTGAGACCTCTTGCTTTTGATTTTTTGTATGCAGTGGCAATGAGAGCAAGGAAAACCTATGTTGTTTGTCTTCAGCTGAGGTCACGATTTACAGGATTGCTGCTTTGGTAACTCAGAGGGGATATGATGTGAATCATGTGAATGCAGGGCTGCCTGGAAAACTTGGGCTGCATGAAATAGAGCATATCAGCATATCACAGTGGGTCAGGGTTTGTAATGTTGGTGCCTTGTCTGCTTCCCAGGGCAAGCTGACAGCTCAAGGCAAGCTGCTGCAGCAGGACACCTTCTACGTGACGGAGCAGGATTCCGGGGTTCACTCTCGGCCCAAGGAGCGCAGGGTGTTTCTCTTTGAGCAAATAGTTATCTTCAGTGAGCTCCTGAGAAAAGGGTCTCTAACACCAGGCTACATGTTCAAGAAGAGCATAAAGGTAAGAAATGCAGAAGAAGAAGCATATTCTGTTTGATGGCCATGTAAAGTTCATCCTGTCGTAGGGGACAGCAATGTGCAGAAAACATTTGCATTTACCTTTCAGTGCATCAGAAGCTGCTTAAGACCATCTCTAAGTAAACCACTGGGTATCTAAATTTATTCAGCAATTTTTACATAGCCAGGGCAGATCCTCTATCATTCATAGCTCTGAATTAGCAAATATTGCTAGAAAACATGCAGTAATCAAAGGACGTTTACAATAGTTGCTTTTATGCATGATCATAAAAGGTAAATGAAGGCACAGTATCCAAAACAGTCATTTTAGGCCGAACTATAAGTCAATACTAAGCCTTTAATATGATATTTCTGGAAACACTCTCCCTAATTTGGGTGAGGGCTCTTAGTACAAATTTGGATGTTGCAAGAATGTTTCAAAGACAAATAAAACCACACATAATTCCAAAAATACAGCTGTGAGGAATTACAAAACCAGATAAACTATAAAGAGAGTTTTGAGAAATTAATTTTGGTTTTAAACAATCTGTCCAGATTATGGGGCTGGGGCTAAAAGTAAAAACTGAAAGTCACCACCAGAAATACTTCTTTGTTTAACAAATGCAAAGTTAACCTGTGAAATAGTCAGTCAAAGTGAATGCATGCTGCACATCTCCTGGTGAAACAGCCTTTGCTGTGCCTGCAGAAAGAGCAAAGTCAGTGATTCATTTGAATTTCTGGGTCGTTCAAAGCTGAGAAACCAGTCTAGCATTGATTTCCTTTTCAAAGATACAGGTTAAGAGACATGGGGGAATGCATTGTGTTTGCTCTAAATTTTAAATGATGCATTAATAGGGAATAGAAGAGAATACTATCAGCTGAAATAATGCATATTAACATATATAACTAAACAGATTTACAATAAACGCCATATTTACTGAAATGAGGTCATCTTCTTGGCTGATGGAAACAGCAGCATTTACTGAAAAGCTTATTTCCATTATATCCATTTGCAAGTCAGTGTATTTTATAGTTTCCAACCAAATAATAGGCTATAAAGGGAAAACCCAAAGTGTACAAATAAACAGTCATCTTCATTTAGATGATCAGCTTTGATTTTATCTTTTTTGCTGATTTAAATCATTATTAAAATTGGAGATGGAAATAGTATGAATCATTTTTATTTCAGTTTATTGTGTATATAACAATGAGGCTTTTATCTGCAGGAAACAATTCCTGAATTGTATATTGTAGATAAAGAGAGAAAAATAAATCTCTCCTAATGTCAATAAAATTAGCTTGCCTCAAGGGTATGAGTTGCTTTTCTAGTTACACAGCCTACGAAAAAAGTGCTGTTCCCACTACCTGAGTTTAACACTTTTGTATGATAATTTTCCAGCCCCTTTTCTTCCACTTGGCAAACAGCTCATTCTCCTGTTGAGTGTCTACTGCGAGTGTGGGATCCCCTGTGGCTCCATGTGTGTCTCCCCAGCTCAGCATGGAGTTTGTGTGCCAGCAGCTCTCACACCCTCCCTCCCAGCCCCCACTTGAGCTTCTCAGTGCTCTTACATTTTTCTGTTTCCCAGAGGAGAGAGCTGTGGCTCTCAGTGGAGCAGGACCTTCCCCCACCTCCCTGGGCTCTGAGCATCCCCACCCTGCAGTGGGGCTCCACAGATCCCATTTCTTTCCCCTGTCACAGCCACAGAGTAGAGTGCATATGACTTCAAATGCAGCTGTTCTGGTCTGTCAGCAAGACAGGACTCCCAGATATTGTTCTCCAAGATCTGTCACACTCAAACTGTGACAGAAGCTTCAGCATCTTGTCCTGCATTAGCAAAGAATCCTTTTTTACACAATCAGGTCCTTAGTGTTGAGAAATGGCACATCCCTTCTCAGAAACTGCTCAGTTGGATACCTTTCAGGCTCTCAAAGTACCTCAGTGGAAGCTTTGATGAATGCATCTCCCTGAGACACAAATAGGAGGTTAGGGGACTCTACAGGTCTTCTACCTGGAGTCATACCAGGATTGGTTTGCTATCAACCAGAGGAAAATGAGCTCAGAGCAGGAGCAAGAGCACTGCCCAGGCTCACCTGTGTGTCCTTGTCCTTTCCATGTCCTCATGTCAGGGGAGTTCCTGCTTGTCACTGAACCTCACAGAAGCAAAGGAAGATGCCAATTCCATATTGCAGTTTGAATGCTGGACAATATTCTGATCTGGAGTGGATCTCCATATCTTGGCAGATACTCACATTGATTAGAGATGGATTCCTTCCATTCCCTCATCCATAGGGGACATTATTGCCTTAGTCTTCAGAGCTGTCTGCTTTTGACATGAAGACACTCCCTCTCTTGTTTTTTTGGGAGGCTATGCCAACTTATTCTTGTTTACTACCCTAAGTATCTCAGGAAAAGCTGAAGTTATGAGTACACTTAAAACAGAAGCCTCCCAAGGGCAGGACAGCAGCCAAAATTCCCATCCATATGATTTCCAGAAAGAGTATCTGTGACTACAGTCAAGTGATGTGATTGCACACAGATGACTCTAATCTGCTAGAAATAAGATCTGTTGCAGCATCACAGGAGAATTGCTCTTTTTTTTCACTGTATCCCTGTGCACAGCCTATTCCATTTTTAAAATGCACTAATGACTGAGACTTTCATATCAGAGCACAAGAAATATAAACATTTATTTAAATTGGGGGAATGATAGACTTTATTAACATATTAATAGGAACATTTTTGTTCTATTTAGGGGTTTCAGTAAATTTAAAGCGCACCAGTCAGGTCTGAGTTACTTAAAATAGAAGTTGTAATTCAAGATAAGGCAGGTGGATGTCTGGTACATCTGTCAGAGCTTTATTAAGCATCATATTTAAGATTTAGATCTATCTGGGTATATCTAGATGAGACAAATTCTTCTTATTATGATCTAACAGTGTGTTATTGCACTTAATTATTTTCAGGAACATTTCACAACAGTTTTGATTCTTGTGTAATGTTAGCTCGTGCTCCCTGTAAAATGCTTACCTTGGCTTGTTTCAGATGAACTACCTTATCATTGAAGAAAATGTGGACAATGATCCCTGCAAGTTTGCTCTAATGAGCCGGGAAACATCAGAGCGAGTCATTTTGCAGGCAGCTAATCCAGAAATTCAACAAGCTTGGGTACAGGACATCAACCAGGTCCTGGACACACAACGAGATTTCCTAAATGGTATGTACATGGTCTTTGTTCTGGTTCCCAAACTGTTATGCTAAATGGGATTTAGAATCTTTATGTCCTTGTTTCCTCCGTGAGAAAATTACTGAGTCACTTGTGCATGTGTCAGTTGGGCTCACGTTCCTCAGGTCCCCCCCGGTGGTCCTTTTCTTGGTGGTACTTTTGTACTGAGGTTTGCAGGGCTCTGTCACCTGTTGCTTTCCGTTGTACAGTGAGATTTTAAATCTGAAGCCATCTCAAGATCATGATGAAGCCAGGTTGCTACTGTGTCTACACAGCATCTCTCATTTACTCAGAGCAAGGTTTATCCTCTTAAACAGGAGCCTCCTGTGTGCTACCAGCTGAGGATGTGAGGTGGGATGAAGGCTGCCCCACCATGCACCCCCCTACAGGTCCCAGCTCTGCAGGGCTGCAGTAGCTTTCAATTAAAAAAAAAACAGCAAAACAAAAAGCCAAAAACCAAAGAAAAGAGCAAGGAAACAAGGGCAAGGGCTTGTTTCTCCTAGGAACCATGGGAGCTGTGCATGAAAAGGGGCTTTTCCAAATTATCAGCTTTGCTGTGGAAATAGATCTGAGGTGGTCTGAAATAATATTTCAAATTAAAGCTATGTTAAAAAAAAACAAAACTCTCAAAAACCAGACTCATACACAACCAACAAAAGTGTGTAATTTGAAAATACAGAGGAATCAAATTCAGTTAACAATTTTAGCTTGTTCCTGCTCCTGAGTGGATGAGGGTAAGAGAAGAGAACAGGACTAGAGAAAAAAATCTAAAAATAGTATCTCTTCTATTTGGAAGCAACAAAGTAGCTTTGGATGCCTCCAAGATTGCTTTGCACTATTCATTTCATAACTGCTTATTTTATAGAGCTTATATTAGAGTTCTATATTTAATAGCTTAACACATGTTGAATAATAAAACATATTTGCTTGAATTAAGATGTTTGGGCTTGGCAAAATATGTTAGGTTTTGTGGTTTTTGTGGGGCAGGGTTTGTTATTTGGTTTTGTGGATTTTTTTTTGCAAAATGGGAAGAGGGTCTTTCAGTTCACATCAAAGGTCCCCTTCTCTTCAGTGTGGAGGTTTTAAAAATTTTAATTCAGCTTAATTTTACTTTTCAGAAGTTAACTGGGAAGGGGTTACATGCACAAGTTCTTTGTGACAGTTCAGAATCTATGGCTGAGCTGAGAAGGGAAATATATTTCACCCACGATGCCACAATTTGATACTGTGTTTTTGTGACTTGGAATAGAAACAGCCTCATACAACCATGGCAAAATAATTCCTTAAATACACTGGTGAGATGAAGAGTCTAAGTGCTCCAGTTTGACCAGTTGGTACCAAAACTTGATAGGTTTATGACAGTGCAGTTTGTTTGGAATTATTTGAATAAAAATAAGTTCCACTAACAGTTAGCTGCAGACTTTTTTTTAAAGCCTTGTGAGAGCTCTGCAGGCACTAATGCAGGGGGTTTTGTCCCATCCATATCTTTCTTGCTTTTTCTTTTTATTTTTTAAGTATTCCATCTTATCTTCACAGAACTTACTGCCCTCTGAGCCTCTTTTTCTACTGAGACATCTTCACAGCCCCTATTCAGCCTATCTTTTATGAGGCCAAGCAAGCAATTTGATGGGTTAGGAACATAATCATCACTATCTCTAAAGCAAAAGTAAAAATAGATTTCTATTAAAACACAAGCTTAAGGATTTACCTTAAAACTATAAATAAGATCCAAGAAAATGATACTGTATCCAGTAGAGCCTGTCCAGTCCAGAATATTTTAAGTGGCTTTTAGAATGTAATCTTATTGAGGCTGACTAATCTTTAAATATGTTCTTTAGCTTTGCATTTCATTAAAGCAGATGTTTTCTGTCCTTAAAGTCATATTAAATCCACACTGAGCCAATGCTGTGTAAACTTAATAACAAAATATTCCCCTTACGTTCTTGCCCAAGCTGTCTCTGATTTTTTTATCTTCACCAGGAAAGCCCTAAAGAGTCAGGGGCTATGTACAAAGCAAGGGATTTGCATCAAAACTTCATTAATGTGAAAGTGTAATATTCAAGTTTTTCATTTTTTTCCATGGAAAAGTAAAAGCTGCTAAACTTGAGATGCAGCACAGACTGTGCATCAATTGAGGGGCTGTTGTGACTGATCTTTAGGAAGCAAGCTGTAATGAAAGCCTGTCACTACTGGACATGTTTTATAAGGAAAATGGCATCCATCTGTACCTTCTTTTAATCATGTTTTGTGGGGGAATTTGAGAGAGAAAGAGAGAACATGCAAGTAGATGGACACTGACTTTTGCCAGAAGCTTCTAAGAGTACTGACAGATGTTTAACAGGAGGCTGGAAGCCAGCCATCACTGTGATAGTTCATGGTGGAATTAGCAGTTAGAGATGGACACTCAGCTAAATACCCTTTAAAAGTACTGAGTACAGTAGATTGTTTCAAGATAGATTGAGAAGTATCCCTTCAGATCTTACTGCTAACTGCCTTGCAGCCTTATTTACTGTATACAGGAGAAACATGTCACTGTCAAAATCATTGTCAAAGTTCTCCCCAGCCTTCCTTGCCCTCTGTGGCTGGTCTGCAGCAGGACCAAACCATTTTCAGCTGCAGCTGAGGTAAGCAAGTGAAACTGGCAGTCACTGTGGCATAAATACAATCTGCTTTTGTGACAAGGGTCAGGTTTTAGAGACAAGTAATCTTCCAGATTGCTACAGATCTGTGTCTGTGTCCTTTTGAAGAAAATGGTGTCTGGCATCCTCCTTGATTTTTTTTTTCCAGTCATTTATTCCTTAGTATGAAGTGATTTCTTGAGTTGTCCTGCATTTCTCTGGAAGGGGAATGCTAGAGAGTGTGCTGTATGGTGCTGAGCTTTTCTGTTTTTCTTTCCTTTTCATTTTGTTGGGAAAGACATTCCTTCTGTTGTGGTTCCCTGGTGGAGCTGATGCTGTGACATTATGTCCTCTGTCTGCCCCTTGCTAGACTAGTCTCTCTGCATTCCAGTAGGTTTAGTCTGATGCTTGTACACAGCATTAACTGACTATAAATCATCTGTTAAAGCCACATGACATGCAAAAAACCAAGCCCATAGGTCTGGGGCTGGTAGCCTGAGCCCAGCAAATCTGCTCACTGTGAGTCCCAGCCCTGATCCCTTCTCCTCCAAACATAACAGATTATTTCTTTATGATCTGGAATTTTTTTCCTTCCATTTCTCAGTGCAAGCTTTCTCCATTACTGTAAAATCTACTCTCACAATCAGACTTTATTTTTTATGGCTTATGAAGCTGTTTAGTGTTGCCAGTTGGGTGTTTTCTGGAGAGGTTTGGACTGCTGGGATTAATGTCTTGGTGCCATCTATACTTCCAGCAGTCTCCTTGAACCAAAGTAGTTCATGTAGAAAGCACATTGAGAGCCAAGTTGCAGCGCATCACGTCCAAAGAGTAATAGTCACACTTTCTTGGCAATATGCAAATGAGACATAGAGGTCTTGACCTGTGTTTTCTGGTAGCAAAATTCACTGCAAATGTGCTGTGCACCCCTTAGTCAGGCTTGCATTTATTTTGACTACAGGATGTGATTAATTTGTGTGATTTCAAATTAGAGGTCTTGACCTCTAAGGTTTTCTGATGTTAGCAAAATTCACTGTAAATGTGCTGTGCACCCCTTAATCAGGCTTGCATTTATTTGGACTACAGGATGTGATTAATTTGTGTGATTTCAAAGAAAATTAATGCAGTGATGTATGCTATAAATGGCAAACATTTTAGCCTACTCACTGTGTAGGTTAGAGAAGCTGTTCTTCACATCAGCATGGAGTCTTGTGTTCAGTTCATGCACAGCACAGTGTAAAGTTCTTGTGTCCTGTCTAGCCATGAACGCGCCATGTGCTTCCATGGGCGGCATCTCCTGTTCCTGTTTGGTTTGAAGTGTTTGAGTCTGTTCTGTTTGAACCGTCCCACCTGTTGGAACAGCTCTGCAGCCCCTGGCAAGGCTGTTGGCAGCAGGTGGCTGACTCCTGTCCTCTCTTGCAGCGCTGCAGTCGCCCATCGAGTACCAGCGCAAGGAGAACAGCTCGGCGGTGCTGCGGCCCCAGGCCGGCAGGGTCCCTCAGCCCAACACCCGGCCCCATTCCTCTATTCCAGTAGGGTCTGAGAAGCCTTTGAAGGCTACAAGCCGTAACCCATCTCTCCCACCCCTGAAGATATCTACCTCCAATGGCAGCACAGGGTATGAGCACTCACAGCCCGGAGACAAGTATGAACAAAGCAAGGTACTGAGCTCGTCTAATAAAACATGATCTCACAACCCATTTCTTGTACCACAGGTGATCCGTGATGTTATCTTTATTAGCAGCTAACCAAGTCAACAGGAATCAACATACTGAAGCAATGGGGTAACATGTGATTTGGGATTAAACAGCTCATGCAAAAGCCCTGGCATCCACATGGATGACACTTCATCTGGGAAGCAGAGACAGAGCCTGATCCTTAAGCACTGATCTCGATGTTTTTCAGGGCACTGTGCTTGCAGATCTGGTGAACTAGATATCCATTTCCAGTACTGGCAGAAGTAATATTCAGTCTTCTCTGATAACCATTAACCACCTATTCCTGAAAAAGTCTGTGGTAGGGAAGAGCTTAGACCTTTTCCCATGTAACAGCTCACAGGGTGCCGCTAAAGGTAAAATTCAGGTACCTGTGCGATGCACACAAACCACCAAAGAGTCAGTGCCCACCAACCTGTTTGAACCCTGCTGCTGTCTGAGGTTGAGCAAAGCCACTTTCCATCTGACCTATATTTAACTGTGAGTATTCACTCAGCTTCATTTGTCTTTGTCCCCATTTGGCTCAGCACAGATCATTCATCTGTGACACCCCCGCAGATGAGAACACCCAGGGACACAATCGTTAGCAGCTTTGAAGTCTGATGTGAAATAGGAGACTGGTTTGTATTAAGTTACTGCCACCCTTCAGATCTCTAAAATCCTTTTCTGCCAATGTGAACTTCCAAGTTGTTTTGTGTCCTTTTCCCTGGTCCAGTCAGGCTGGACATGCAGTAGTGGGATTGCTGCCAGAAAGGGCAGGTTCCTCCGCGCCGGCCGCTCACCGGTTTGTGTTGTGTCCGTTTGCAGACTGATTTGGGAGGGTGCAATGGGACCTCTTCCATGGTGGTGATTAAAGATTACTATGCACTGAAGGAGGATGAGATCTGTGTGAATCAAGGAGAGGTGGTTCAGATCCTTGCTATCAACCAGCAGAACATGTTCCTGGTGTACCAGCCTGCAAACGACCACTCTCCAGCTGCTGAAGGATGGATCCCTGGCAGTATCTTGGCTCCCCTCCCTAAATCCACTACAGATAATAGCGATGGAAGCATCAAGTAAGTGCCCTATTGGCTTCGCTGGGAGCACTATGTGGATTTTTTGAGGAAAATAAAATAAATTAATAAAAATGAACAAACCCAAATGGTAGGGAAATCCTGCTGATTTTTATCTACAGTGCCATTGGAACAAGCTGAGTGGTCAATCCGCAGCGTCGGGCAGCCATGGTGGATAGCTCGGGTTTTGCTTATTTTCATTTTGTGGGATTTTGTTTATACTTTGGAGAGAAATAAAACCATAGACGGTTAAAGATATGCTTTACGTGACACCATTTTACACCAACATGGACCTGCTTGGACTGGACTTATATTTATGTTGTATTAAGTTACTAATCTATATATTGGTTATAACAGCATTTAGATTTAAAAAAAAAACAAACACAAAAATCCAGGCTCTGTGTTGGACTGAGGTTTGCTTCTCAAGGAGGAGAGATTTTGTTGTCTATGGCAATTTCCTTGTACAGCTTGTATCTTCTTTTTTTTTTCTTTTGTTTTGGTTTTTTTTTCTGTTTCATTATCTTTTGTAATATATTTTTTGTTTGCAAGGCCCCCATCCAAGTACATTCCTGTAAAAAGTATTTTGCACTATTTAAAAAAAAAAGAAACAAACTCACATTGATGAAGTCAGGTTGTGCAATATAATGAATAGTCGCAATGTTCATCATTGTACCTGTAATGTAACTAATTTTAAATGTACTATTTTAAATATGTAAAATAAATTTTCACTATGAGCATGTTTTAATGAGGTAAAAGAATTAGTTTGACCCTTATTTTTTTGTTTGATTTTGTTTTATTTTGATTTTAATTTTGTTTATAATATTTTGTTGTTTATTTAACAAATGTATGGATATATATTTTTCTTTTCTGATTTTTAGAAATTTGTCAGTCTGAAATGACTAATGCAAGGAAGTGGTTTTTTGGTATTAAATACAGAAGGTACAACCCTCTTTTCAGTAATACCTGTTGATTTCTTTTAACATCTAAAATGACTGGATGGTAATGCATGATGTATGCTACAAATTGTGTTACCTTACACAAATACCTCGAGGCACAGAATTGAACACAAGGAAGGATTTTGTGACAGATTCACTAAAAATAATAACTTGATCTCTGCTGCTGTTTCAGTTAAGAGAAATGATGACTTTACCTGTCAGTCAGTAATGAATGCTACCTGGAATTGCATGTTAAGCCAAAGGAATTGCTTGGCACATCTCTTGCACATCCGCCACGGCCATTCCCGGGTTCCTCTCTAGCCACAATTTGCAACCACGTGCCCTTAGAATCATCCACGGTACCAGACTCCTGGTGAAAACTGATTTCATGGCAGCTGTACAGTAAAATTCTGCATCAAATTCTCTAGACAGATGAATTGTGGCCTAGAAGGTGTAGCAAAACTGAAAGACACATGAATTGCAGTTTTTTCTTTCTCACTGCAGTGAGATTTAAAGTCCTAGACAATTTTTTCAGATTCAAACAGCTAAAACAACCCTGAAAACAAAAAGATGCTTCAATAATAGGAGTTCTATGAATAAAAAACAACCTGGAGCTGTGCTATCTTCAACCCTATCTGGTCTGTCAGATCACAGTGACTACTTAGCTTAAGTAACAAAACTGTTTCTTCTGTGACAAATACTGTACACAAAATATACGGTCAATCCAGCAGTGTTGGCACCATGAATTATTCACCTATGTTCATTATATAGATCAGGGAGCCTCATCTGCCAGGTTCTTGCTTCTTATACGTCCTAAAGGAAAACACAGCAGTCCTGAAGTGTTGGATAACTTCCCCTGCCGTGCGGTTCACATTTGGATCCTGTCCAGAAACGCCCAAATACCAGTCAGCACTTAGTGCCTGTCTGAGCTGTGCAGGGTGCTCTGGTGCTCCCCATCTCAGGCTGCCCTTACAGGCTGAGTTAGTGCAGACTCCAATCCTGGTTGCAAAAACAGTTGTCGTGACCCAGTTCAGTCTCGTGGCTGTGGCAGGGTTTGCTTGTTCTTTACCAGAGCTGTTGTACAGCTCCCATCAGGTGCTGAGGGAAAAGCAGGAAGCGCGTAGGAGGCAGACGCAGTGTTCATGGGGGAGTGTCGGCTGTGTGGGGCATCCTTTGGGTCCTGCCTTGCTAACATACTGCGTTTTATTGGCATCACAGGTGATCCCTGGATTTCATACAACTTCCTTTGTAAAATGTATCAAGGTACTGTAGACGTGACATGTGCCAAACATTGGGCTTAAACATGCAAATCAAATTTGCATGACTTAAAGGTGGGCAGATGCTTTGAACCTGGATCCCAGCTCATCACACTGCTGTTTTGAGAGCTTTATGCTTTGGACAACATACCCCTCCCCAAATTTCCCCTCAACCTGTCCACTATTTTAACCAAATGAAACCCATATCAAGAACTGTTTTGATTTTTTTCTTATGTCTGCTTTGATATGCAATTCTCTTGTCAACACAGCATTGCTCTTACAATGGTTGATATTGGTCTTTTTTTTTTTTTTCCAAGAATAAGGTCATAGGAGCAGTAATAAAGGGTGAAAAATTTACTGGAAATGGTGCCTGCTGTAATGCTAGCCAAAACCCATGGCTGACTGAAGTCCTCTTTAACTGGATTGGCAAAGTCAAATCGGAAATTCTTGGTCTTGAGAGACACAGCAGAGCTTGTCATTCTAGGAAATTACTTATCTCTTGGAAAACTAATAACACAGCTCCTATTTATTGAGCTGTTTGTGTTCTGAGCAACATGTAGTGAACAACAACTTGAATTTCTTTTTTTTTTTAAGTTTGATATACTGAGTAATCTATTAGGACCATTCTTACATATTTATATTTGTTACACTACTTTCAACCAATGAGACTAAGGACCAGGTTGGTCTTTAAAATGTAGCAAAATTAAAATAAATTTGTATTTGTGGCAATGCAAGACAAAGTCCCTGAAACCAGATGACCAACTTTGATTTGCCTGTGCTTCCATCATGGACATTTTTTTCCTGCTCCATGCATTTAAACAGCAAGTGTGGCACAACATCTGCTTTGCAGAACTCTTTGGTTTGGTTTTTAACTTCAGCTCTCATTGCTGAGATTGAGACAGGCATATTGCCTGCCGGTGGCTTTCACCTTCTAGGGAATTGCAGTAATTGCAAATGTGGATGCTGGTTCCTTTCCAAAACCTTTCTTCCTGCTCTGATTTGCCATTTGATTGCTGCGTTTTTTGGTACAACAGGAAGTCATGTTCATGGCATACCCTGCGCATGAGAAAGCGGGCGGAAAAGGAGAGCAGTGGCAAAAATGAAGCCAATGGGCCACGTAAATCCAAGGATATTCTGGGGAACAAAGTCTCTGTTAAAGTGAGTAAGGCCATCTGAAAGCTCTGTGCTGCTCTCCTGCTTCCCATCCTTTCCACCCCCTGTAGCATCCTCTCCTGAGAGAGGGAGGGGGCGGCAATTTTGAGTTTGGTTTTGGTTTTTTTGTTGTTTTGGTTTGGTTTTTTGGTTTTTTTTTCAACTTCAGTTCTCTTTTTTTTTTTTTTGGTTTTTTTTTTTCAACTTCAGTTATCTTTTTTTTTTTTGGTCCTTTTTTGTAGTATCCATTTTAGCAGGATTTTTGCATGCAAGATAAAATGCAGTCTTTGTTTTTTGTTTTCTTTTTCCTGGCATCCCACATGCAAGTAAGTAATCCTTATTAAGAAACCCAACTATATACATGGTTAAATAACTTAAAATTGGAACACTACTGATTTACTGACCTCTGATCTGCTTCATCAGAGCAGCTGCAGCAGTGAGAAAGCCACTGGGTGAACCATGGCCTTGCGGATGAGTTTTGTTTAGGTCAATATTTCACCAGATGTTAAGATAAAGGGTTCTCAGCCTGGGGATTCTTAAGGTTTTTGGTCTAGAAAGATGGTCTCAATGACCTTTTTCTTTCCATGTTATCAGACAGGGCAGAGATGCTGACTCTGTCTTGCCAGGAGAAGGTCTCGTGTGTGTGTCTGTGTGTGTGTGTGTCTGTGTGTCTGCGTCTCTCTCTCTTTCTCTGAGATCTCCCAGTATGGAAAAGTTTGAGAACAGTGGGGTTAAGCTCCATCTTCTGCTCTGGGTGCCTGACTACTGTGCTCCAACTCAGAGGATCCTCCCCTATAAACCGACCATGAGGCCTGCTCAGGACTGGTCTGGGGCTTTCCCTCCCAGCAGAGGCAAGCAAACACTTGTTGTGATTTTGACACAACCAAAGCCCAGCCTTGATGCAGGAAAGCACTTGAGCATGTCCTTTGGATCCACCCCTCTCCAGGAGAGTCCATGATGAAGTGTTTTCCTTTGCAGAGGCTTTCTGTCTTACAAGCCTGGTGCAGTAGCCCTGGCATGTGCAAAGGGAGGAGCCCTGACTCTGCATCCCGGGCGCCCTGGCACCCTCCGGATGAGCAAGGACTGGGTCCGAGGGAAGCGGCTGCTCCAGCATGGTGGCACATCTCCTCCTCCTCTTGCTTCCTCCTTGTTTTCACCACCTGAATGAATTGCAGAATCACTGCTGCTTCTCTGGCAAAAGCATGTCTTTGCCTTTGCTCCCCTTGTTTTGTTGTCAGGTTGTTTTTTGTTTGTGTTTCAGGAGCATTTTCCCTACCGTTACCCATTTCCATGCTGCTCACAACTGTGCTGCTCTACCCTGACTAACCAATCTCTTTTCTAATCTCTTGTTCTCTTTCTTCCTCTTCATGCTGCCAAACAAGGAGACAAACAGCTCAGAGGAATCAGAGTGTGATGACCTTGACCCCAATACTAGTATGGAGGTAGAGACAATCATCCTTGTGATTATTTTTTCCCAAAAACATGTGTCTGTTTTGAAATGCCTTTGCTGCAAGGGGAGTTGGTGGGTCTGTATTGCTTGCAGATGTGTGTGCCAATTTAGTGTGAATCACAAAAAGTGTCAATTCTGGTTTTGCCAAGCCTTGAACTGGAGTTTGGCCTTCTTTTGTAGTGGGAGCAGTGGAGGGAGCTCAGTAACAATCTCCTACTGTGCTGGAGGCTCTCATAGCCACCCTCAGTCTCAGCTTCCCATTTGAGACCTCAATCCAACAATAATGCAAGTGTGTCAGCTGCTGATAAATGTAGCAGTTTTCTATATTAAAAACACCCTTTGCCCTGGCAATATACACTTGAGCTGCCAGTCAGGCCAAATATTGTTGTAGCACAACCAGTACTTTGGCTAGAAAATCAGAAAATACAACATTTCCCTTTTCTCTTAGCAGAGTGGGAATTGCATTTCTGTCAAGGTACTGAAGGAGAGTGGTAAAACCAGTTGTGTGAATGTACCTGTGTCTCAGGGAAGGCTGATGCAGATTGATGGACCCAATTTATGCTACATTATGCCCCTGTTTTTCCATTGTGAAACCACCAGTTCTAGTGGAGTGCCTTGTTGAGAGAGCCTAAGAGAGCTGAAAATCATGCAGAGCTATGTGTCTGATTCTCCTCAATTAACATCTAGCAGGATCTTTTTTTTTTTTTCCTTCTGTTTATAGTGACCACACAAAGCATTTCTTTACATTTTTCCAAGGCTGAAAGAGATTCCTGTTGAAACAGGCAAGGACATGGTTCAGAGAGATGGTGATTTTGTGGTGATGACAGGACAGGTCACTGGAGAACAGAGATATTTGTGTCCTAGCAGATCTCCCGGATGTTGTCAGCCAGGCTGCACTGTAAACATCCTGCAAAAGAAAGCTGATCTTCCTCCTGAAGGGAAAATAAAAAGAGGGAGAAGTGTATTGAGGTGCACCACCTAGGCAATTAACCTGCTTTTATTTAAGAAAGCTTGCTTTTATTTTAATTGTGTTGGGATGTGTACAAAAGGAAAGCTTTTGACCCAGCTGACATCCTGGAGATTGAATGGTCCTCACCTTTAAAGCTGCATTATTCTCAGGAGTGTGTTTGCATTTTCAAAGAGTGTTTTGCCAGTCACAGGTAATATCTGGAGGTGTATGTATTTGTTATAAGGCAGTGCCCATTATTACACAGATGGCTGTGTAATTTTCATTCACTGAAAATTGTCCTGTGGACCAACAGGTGGCTGAGACAAGGGTGATTGTGCAGAGCTGGGTGAAAATCACTGTTCTTTTGCAGAGGATTTCTGTGGTTTTACTTTGTTCAACAGGAGGAAAACCAGATGGTTTAGAATTTCCAGTGGGAGGTGTCTGAATCCTTGCCTTGTCAGCATTTCTAGTCTTTCTGATGACTTGATTTGGGTTTTTACCATGGTACAGTCTACTGTTCTGAAGTTCAGGAGAAAAAAAGCCTTTCTATTTAAACCAGAAGACACCAATGTGAAGTCTCAGCTATGGTATCAATCTGCTATTGGAGGCACACAGTTGTGTGCCTTTTGTGTGACTATTTACACTCAGAAAGCCCCATCCTGCATCTCCCAGGTCACTTACTGGAGGTGACATTGCCACTGCACTGCAGTCCCCAGAAGCCACAGTATTCTTCATGGCTTGGAAAGCTCAAGTTTGCTTCTGGCAAAACTCTCTGTGGCCAAGCAAATATTTAAAACAGCAGAGAAAGAGAAAATAAGAGAACAATTGTGGGGTGACTTATTGAGGTCACACTGCCCTGCAAGGAGCAGCACGGCCTTTGCTTTGTGATGGTTTTAGTACATCTGCAGCCAGGATTGAGTGTGGTCATCTCACTGGTCTGGCTAAGAAATACTGGGGGGAAGGGATTGCTGATACCCAGTATAAACTAAATAAAGTCATCTGGAGGGAGCAGATGGGGCAGGCTCATAAAATGCTGGTGGAGCCCTAGAAAGGCCAGGGGGAAGTCTGGTCTGTAAAGGTCTCAGGTATTCACCTACTGGAAGCCACGACTGCTCTTCCTTTTTCTTCATTATGAGTGTTTTGATTCTCCTTTCCAAACATGTTAAAATAAATGGGCCACATTACAGCCCAGGAGGCCAAAGCCTTTTCTCATTAAATCAGAGAGGAAACAAGCTAATTCCAACACCAGAGCTTGATTCAGGGCTTCATCAATCTTCTAGGCCTCGTGTGCTGGGCTCAGATAACTTAGACAGCTGTGCTACCCCTCCAGCCCAACCTGTGTGTGCAGTGAACATCAGCATCTCACCTGGTTTTGCTTTCCCTGCTCTGTGTGGAATGTCCACTGGTGAGTTCCCAGGGCAGCTGGAGACAACATGACAGCCCAAGGAGGGGGAACACCTTGTCCTCACAGCTGGCCAGGCTCGTGAGGGGTTTTATAGATGCTGGGAGTGGTGACAGAAGAGCTGTGTCCTGGCCAGCAGCACTCAGAGGTGCTGTTCCTGTGTCATTAAGGTGGAGTCATCACTGCAGCCTGGTAACAACAGGGCCAGTCACCTGGCTTCCCGTATGGGACTGTCACCCCTGACATCCCTCTTCTTCCCATCGTGCATGAGAACGTGCACCCAGTGCTGCAACAGACAGAGCAGTCTCTAAATGCACAGCAGACATATTAATTACTTGGAAATGTGGGTGCAATTTATCTCCACCCTACTTCCTGCACAATAAGTTAGTGAGCTGGTCAGAGTACACATGAAGTCCCACAGCTACTGTGGCCTTTCAGGTCTGGCTTTGTTTGCTACTTGTGAAATACCACAGTGGATTCCATTCAGTAGATTCCAGGTTTCTGGAAGTACTTTGCCTTTGTTTCAAGGGAACACAAAGACAGAAAGAAATGTGGAAAACATATATTATGAGAGCAGGAAACAAATTCTGGGTCACTGTTTAAAAGAGCTAAAATTCCACTACTGGGTTTCCACTACTGGCATCTCTTGGTGACTTGTTTTTTCCCTCTTTCTTTATTAATATGTAATTGAATGTGCATAAAAATGGAAATGAAATTTGATTTTTCCCCCTCCTAGTTTTCTGCTTTGTGCTGTAGTTTCATAAAGCAGAAGGCACAAAGTCACCCATTAAGTATGTGAGTGTAGGAGCAGGCACTTAAGGGCCACGTGAGTGACAGGAGTAACCTGCACTTAAGGATGATCAGAGACTCTTTCCACATGTCTGTAGTTAACTGCACAGGGACAGGCAACTCCTCTTCTGGGAAGAGGTAAGCCCTTGTGAATCAGTATCCACACCCAAGTCTGGGGTCCTGGACAATGACACAACTAATTGTCCTACAATTCTGTGTTGTAACATCTCATGGGGTTGCAGTATTGCTGAAGGCTTCACAAGGCAGCTGTGCAGATGCCATCAGGATACCTCTCTTGTCTACGGGAATGTTCTTCCAGCAGTCAGATCTGACTGATCTAAACCTCACTAAGTCCAGCAGCAGCTCCTCCCAGCTTTGGGGTGGACCTCAGGTGCAGGGTTCTGACATGGCTCCAGATGTTCTGCACAACTCCAGCTGCAGTGTTACAAGTGCTGTTGGTGACACACGTCTGTCACTGAGCTCTGGTGTCTGTTCCAGTGTCTCTGCTGTGCAAAGCAGAGATGAAGCCCAGGCCAAGTCACTGGAAGTTCCATCATTAGATTAGTGAGCTGAGCTGCTGCCAAGGTACGTACATTGGCCTTCCTAATCTGGTTTTTTCAGTTGTGACATTTTAGCATGTCAAGAACTACTCAGAGACACTTAGACCGAGATAAGCACTACGAAACATACACTGTGGAAGAAATATTGTGTTAGCTCCCCCACAGTCCACGTGCTTGAATAAGTAATGGTTTGGTGGATACAGCACTGGCTCCAAAACACCACTCAGCTCAGGCCAAGAATTCCCAAGTGCTTTATGCCTTCACCCCCTGCCTAAGGTTGTCCACTTTCAGAGTAGATCTAACACTCTCTTGGCAAAATCTTCCTACAATACTGTAAGAAAGCCTTTCCTGGCCTGTTACCACAGCATGAATGAGTACAATCCTGGGAATTTCCCTGGGTTTCCCTGGAGTCTCCTCCATGGACAACACCTCTGTCCTGCTGCCCTGAGAGGCCAGAGGCTGCTGAGACAGACCAGGAAGGTGGCTCATCAGGTGTGACATCGCCTGAGCCAGCAGCACAGACATGGAGGATTAGCCTTTGGAAAAGCAAGAAGTGACCTACTTAATCTTCAGGAAGGTGTAAGGTGCTACAACACAGTGCCAGGGACATCCCACAGGTTCAGCCATGGAAGCCACCAGCCATTAGGGCCAGGCAGCAAGAACACAAGGCAAGAGGGCTTCTGCTCTGCACAGATGCAGTACAGCATCCCTTGTGCCTTTCCCATTAGTCCCAAAGGTAGCTGAGCCCATCCACGCTGGTGCCAGAGGGGATCCCCCATCCCTGACAAAAGGCTGATGTCATGGGATGCTTCATTAGATGCCATTTTAATTTTTCCTTTTGGTAGCCTCGATCCATCTGTGGTGGGATCATTATCTGCTCATTTTATCAGGAAATTTCTCTAGTTAATTTGTTTCTTTTTTTCGGTGGAGGGGAGGCTGGTGACACTGTGAGCCTGTCACCCTGAAGGTCTCAAAGTAAAGTTGACCTAGCCAGAGATGGGTGGTAGGTATTTTCCTAAAGATTAGAGTTCACCTAATTTCTCTCTAATTAATTTCATTTTTTTCAGAGAATCATAATTTTTGGTTTTGAGTGAGGTAGCAAGGAACATGCTGCTCACTCTGCTACCAGTATGAGCAAATGTGTCAGTATTGTATTTTAACTCAGTGACCAAGAGGTGCCATGAAATGGTTCAGGAAATGCTCAGCTGCTTGTCTTGGAGTGAACATGCCCTCTGGTGTTTAGGTGAAGCACCGACCTTGTTACAGAGGGCTTGGTTTGCAAGACTAGGATTCTTATGCTTTGGGGGAAAAGGAATATTCTCACTCCTGGTTTTGATATGTTCCCTTATAATGGGATTGAAACCTGGCACTGGAAAAATCTGGGCATCTGCTGGGCCATTCTGTGCACGGGTGTGTCTGGGCTGGGTGTAATCTCTCCAAGGAAGTGGGGTAGGCATGGCAAGGCCCCCCCTGCACTGGAGAAACAAACCCTGGCCAAGGTGAGAACCCTCTCAGGCAGCCAAGCTGTGTTTGCAGAGCGTTTTGGGACTGCCACTGGCGTGGCAGGATGGCTTCTCCCTCCCCACCAGATAAAGCATGTGTGCACAAGTGAAAGATAAGATTGTGCTAAGAATTAGGGCAGTTAGAGTCACTTTGCAAATGGGCTTTGCAGCTACTGATGCAGATGCCTTTCTATCCTTATAACATAAGCTTAATAGACCAGGAAAAATACTGCAAAATACTGAGTTTCTGGAGAAGCACCCCTGCTACTTTTCTAAAGCTTGACTGTTAAGTTACACTTAATAGACCTAGATGTGAGTGACTTAGATCCCTGCAGGTACCCAAAGGCATTCAAGTATGTGCCTTATGTGCCTTTCTTGGTCTGAGCCCTGAAACAGCACAGGCTGGAAGAGGGAGAAGCAAGATCTATTTCTGGCTTTTTATTGAATAGCCCTGACCTGTCCTCCCATTCCTTTATCTCACCCCCCTCCTTCCAGCTGCCTGGCTTTGCCTGGTCAGTGTTAGACCTCACATTACTTGAGCAGAGGCCATTTCATGTTCTGCCTTTTGTTACCTTCCATAGGATTTCCATTTTCAGCAGTCACTGTATGGGAAACAAACTCTCCTGGCCACAGTGGGGAGAAATTTTAACTTGCTCTGGGCCATGCAACGGGTATTCCATCCAATTAAAAAAAAAATCTACCTCCTCTCAATTAAAATTATGTTTCAAGGAAAAAGTGCACATCTGTGTTTCTCACATGCAGTGCAGACTGAGTTTGATCCCCATAGGGTTTGTGTTTGCATGTCAGTGGACTGACCCTGAAGATGGAGTGAGAAGTTCTTGTGTTGGGTAGTTCCATCCCCATGAGTTTTTCCTCTCACAGCCAGACTGGCAGCCACCCTGGTGCAGGAGGTTTGTGCTGGGATTTCTTCAGTTTGCCCTTGTCAGCATGAGGCGCTGGGCCACCTTCCCCTGCTCACGGCCACTGTGGCCACAGGTGCTCAGCTGAGGGCTGGGCTGGGAGATCCTCATTCAAACTGCTGCAGAATGAGGGGGCAAGTGTGCCCATGAGGGGATCCAGCCCTGGCACCAGAGGAGGCTGTGAGGAGAAGCAGCACATGAGCTCCCATCCTCTGAGAGCAGCAAGGACACGCTCTGGAGCTCTCCTTCTCCATCCCCAAAGGGTGGAGGGATTACCCTTTGGAAGGGTGGAGAAGGGAGGGATTACAAACCTATCTGGAAAATGAAGCCCTTCTCCATCCCCAGGGATTACAAACCTATCTGGAAAATGAAGAAATTGTCTACAAAGGTCTTGCACTTAATCTAGAAGGACTCTGAGGAGGCTGCCCCCTCCTGCCATGCAGGCACAGCCCAGGAACCTGCAGGCAGAGGCAGCAGAACCCCAGGGCCTGGGAGCAGATGTGTGAACCACCAAACCACCCCTGGATGTAGATCTGGCTGTGAGCCTTTGCTTTCCCCTTTCTGCCCTTCTCACCTCATCATTTGATGTCCTCCTTCAAAGCAGAAGAAAACCCATTCCCTGATTAGGTGCTGTATTAAATCACTTAAATGTTCTCATGCAGACAGACTTTTATTTTTTATTTAAGCTTACAGCGGGCTACAGCTGTGCTGTGGCTGGGGGGTGTTGTTAGGTACCACTTGATTAATTAACAGATGAAGTTTTGGGGGAAAAAAAATGTAAATTTTACCCACAGACTCTTCCAATAGTATGTTGCAGAGATAATTTTCTTTCTGCTATTCCCATGGTGAGGCAATGAAAAAAAAAATTGGTAAGGCAATTATTATAAATTATTGTACCTTGGAAGTCACTAGAAATGTAGAATTATTTGTTTATAGGGATATCTATTGCATTCATCACTGTAGTTGCATCTTCTAATGAATCCTTTAGAGTAATAAAATTAATATAAAGTGTTAACTAGCGTTTCTTTCTCCTGATCTCTAATCCTACAGGGATGGAGATCAGTGAATAATAAGGGAATTTAGTGGATGCTGCAGGGAAGGAAGGGGAGAGCTTTGGAGAATGGATATTTCAGTTAAGCCAAACACCACAAAAATGAAGATGTATGTGCAAATGAGCTGATGCCTGGGGTTACTCAGCTGAAAAGTAGATGGTGTGTGTGAGTGAAAGTGGCAAGCAATGGTTATCCACAAAACAGCTTTTTCTTCCTTTGCTGTGTTGTGTGAGAGATACAACTTAATCACAAAGATCCATCTCTCTTTTGTTCACATGCACAGACAGGACAGAGGATGTTTTCCATCCATTGTGCCACAATTTCTTCCTGTGTCCAGGGGCTGTGTGTGGGTCCTGGAGCTGCTCCCCACCCCTGGGCTGTCAGATCCATGTGCTCGTGGCAGGGCCCAGCTGCACTCCTCAGAGGGACTTTGTGCTTTCCATGTTATGCCTGGTTCATTTGGGCTTTCTGGTGGTGCTAGGGGAAAGCAGACCCTGAGGTCTCAGTGCTGGTACCAGAGCTTTGCCTGGGGCTGCAAAGAAAGGCTGTGAAACCAAAATGAACCTGAACATGCCCAAATGCCTCCTTGAATGGCACCCTGAGCCATCGACCTTGGAAAACTATTTATAAAGCCAAAATGTAAATATAAATCTTGAAGATGTATCTACTTTATTTTGAAGGGTTATTGCTTCTGTTTTGTGGCCTGGTTTCTGAGCCTCTGCAAAAACCTCCTATCAGCTTTGGCAGGCCATGAATTAGGTCACTGCTTCATTGGCATCTTCCAAAATAGCTCTAAAATAAATAGCAACAGAAATATTTAAGGTGAGATAAACCACATTGGTGTTTATGATTGAACATGAAATGGCTGGAACATGAAATTATTAGATTGAATTTGAATACCAAGGCCTTATGAGATTATTAAAACAGTTAATAAGGCTAAAACCACTCTACTATTGTACACCACAATGTAGTTAGGATTGATTCTGTAAGAACCCAGTGGTGTTGTCTTTGCTTTTTCCACCTTTGCTTCCCAAGTTGTATTGACACATAGAGACCACAGAGTAACAATAGCTTTTCAAGTCTTTGCTAACTTGGTTAATTAACTAGCTAGATAAAATAACTCCTAGCTATCCAAACCTAGTTTCAAGCTGGAAAGTTTCCAGCAGTCCAATGAAATTAGTGAATTTTCACTCATGTTAATAGACCAAGAATTGTTGCAGGACTGATCCTCGATATTGGGCAAAATGAAGTATTTATGGTTAGTGCTTTACCTTTTTTCTCCTGAAGCTGAGCACAAGTTAAAAGACATTTCCTCAGACCTGGTTAGTGGCCAGAGTGCTGGTGACATGCCCCAGGTGTGTGGTGACTGCAGGTGCTGTGTGACACAGGTGTGGAGCCAGGCACAGGGGATGCACAAACCACCTCTGGGAAGAGTTAATGGCTTCATCATTATCACATAGGCAAAGAGGAAACACATCCACCTCCTCAGCCTTGGTGCTGTGCCTGTTACCTTTGATGTTTTTTCAGGGTTCAAGAAGCCATAGCTTTCATTTACTTTCCCACGTGTTACCACTAGAGCTCGCTGCACCTGCTGGTTGTTAGAAGGTGCTTGTTACCTCTGCAGCACTTCTGAGTTCTGCTCAGAGTCACCATGGTACCTTGTGAAAACAGATGCCTCTTTGTCACTGTCTAGGAAATAAATGCTTGTATCTCTTTGTATTTTTCAGATAATCAACCCCAATTTCATCCAAGAAGGTGAGTTAAGGACAGCTGTGCTGCAGTCGTGATTTACTCTGGTGCCACAGCATGCTCTGCACCTAGCAGCATTTGCAGCAAAGGCAGCTCTCTGCTGCTCAGTCCCCAGGCTAAGGAGGCTTCCTGCTGGCTGCTGGGCTCACATAGTCTGGGGCCACAGGCCAGGCTGAACCCCCCAAACCTGCCCTCTCAAAATCTCATCCACCTGCCAGAGCACAGGGCTGGGGGATGGACGCACCCCTCTACCTCCTTCTCTGAGCTGTAGACAGCTGGCTTTGACTGGAGGGCAGTTTCAAGGACATAATCCCAGGACTCCCACCTGATTGGAACCCAGATCCCATAGTTCATCCTGTAATGTATTCTCTAGCCTTGTATGACTCTTGACATCCTCACCTGAAGACTAAAAGAGGTGTGTGTGTGTGTGTGTCCCCATGGTTTTTTTACAGTGGCTCCAGAGTTTCTTGTGCCACTAGTGGACATCACCTGCCTGCTTGGGGACACAGTGATGCTGCAGTGCAAAGTCTGTGGGCGACCCAAACCAACTATAACCTGGAAAGGACCAGACCAAAACATTCTAGACAATGACAACAGCACGGCCACTTACACGGTGTCATCCTGGTAAGGTCCTGCCTGTGGATCCCAACATAGCTGGTTCTGATGGTCGTGTTACCCTCAAATATGGCACCAGCCTGGCTACAAGGCTCATTAGGGTGCAGTTAATTAAGTGTGGCATGGCATGTCAGCACATCAGTGTGGCAACCATTAGCTGGAAAGGGTCAGACTTTAGGGCTGGGGTAGCTGTATTTGTTTTTCAGGCTGATGTAAGGTATAGCCACAAAGGGCTGCTGGCAGACCTGGGCTTGCTCGCATTGACTTCCTGAGCCAGCTGCAAGCCAGCAGCCAGAATGTTGACAACCCATTAGTTTGGCTAGTGTTATCTCTGCTGGGGCTCCTCTGCTTGAGCTTGATGCCTTGATCTCATTTAGGAGTCCGGAAAAGCAAGCACTCACCCGCTTGCCATACCCCTATCACTGGGAATTTTCTCATATTATTGGCAGTGGTGGGGTTGCAGTTTTCCTGAGCCTTTCCTCAGCTGTTCCTAAAAAAGCCCAGATGTGCTCTGGGAAGGCTACATCTGGCTGTGCTTGGACAGAAAGATGCTTGTCATAATGTTCCTGGCTTGGCTAGCAGAGAGGAAAACTATCTTTACAACAAGCACTGGGAAGATTCAGAAAGATCTGGAGTTGAATTCAGGTCAGGTAACAGCCTGCTGCTGGATGCTCATCTGCAGCTTATATAAGAAATTTGGGGCAAACTGCAGTGGAAATCTCCAGGAGGCAATCTTTCATTTCAACTTTTCAGCACTTCTGGCACAAGCTGAAATGAATCCAGGGAGTACAAAGTCACTGAAAGTGAAAAAAGAACAGTAAGAGAGAAGGGATTTTACATGTTCAATAAAAAAACCCCTTACATCTGATCAAGAGCTTTGTTTGGAGACTATTGGCTTGTGCAGCTGCCCCAGAGCATCCAAAATTGTCTTTAGCTATTCCTCAGTAGATCTCCTAGTGTCTTATCTTCAGGCTCTGTCTGGACTTGGGATGGGGGGATATTTCCATACAGGGTTCTGGTTTTCATCACAGTCCTCTTCCTGTTGGCTCCCTGTGCACTATCAGCACTTGTATTGTCTTGTTACTCAAATAATCTCTCCAGTGAAGACACTGCCTGCCAAGCAGAGCCCCAGTGGATCAGTGGCTCTTACAAATCTTGCTGGCACGAGTGCATGGATTTCAGGGAGAGGGGATATTTCTGTCCTGTGTTAAACCAGCACAGTCAGACCAGCAAAAGCTGCAGAGTCCAGACAGTTATCCCAGCAACCACGTCCTTCTGCAGTACCCGACAGATTAAGCATTCAAAAACTAGCCTAGTTTTGCCATCAAGGGAACTTATTGTTGGCTCTAAGCTGGGTCTCCAGTACAGCTAAAACAGTTACACAAGCAAAATCTTTTAATTCAGGCCAGCTCCCTCAAATTGCATATTGGAGACTGAAGTGTGCAAACAGCAGTGACTATGAACAGACCTGCTGTAAATTCATGAGACTGCACAGAGCTGTTTATTTTCTCAGTGTGTCTCATGAAGTCGGTGCTGTGCTCTTTATCCCTGGCTGCTAAGAGATGTCCAGTCTTCCAACTGGGGCCCTGGCAGCAGCGTCAGATCAATGGCACATGCTCCAGGGGCCTGAAGCTCCTTGGAAATGTCATCCTGTGCTGTGTGACTGCTTCCTGCATCCATGGGAAGCCCAGTTTGTCTGGTGTGTGTTGGACTTCACTGCAGAGGCACAGCAGCTTACCATCTCCCATGACAGGAAAGATCTGCATGGGTAAATCTTTCCAGATATATGAAGTCTAAGCATCCAGCTCTGGACAGGCACAGGCAGTGTTTATCTCCTGGACTTCTTGCTGCTTGAGTGATCCTTCACATCTCTTCCTAGACCACAACAGACATGAGAATTTCCTTGATAGGCAATTTGGACCAAAGGTTTGCTCAAAGGTTTCGTTAACAGCCAGATCCTGACATATGAAGGGGTTGTACTTGGACATCAAATTGCCGGAGGGATATTCCTTCAAATGCGTTAACGGGACTTGTGTGCACGTCTGTTTACAATGAGGCAGGACAAGAACTATATAAAAAACATTAGCAAGTGAAGCAGTGTTTTATAACTTGGGCTTCCTGCATCCATAGTGACTCGGGAGAGCTCACCTTGAAGATCTGCAACCTGATGCCTCAGGACAGTGGCATCTACACCTGTGTGGCAACCAATGAACACGGAACCGCATCGACCTCTGCAACTATCAAAGTCCAAGGTAGCAGATCTGACCTTAACACACGGGATTTTTCCTCTCTGTGGTCCCTTGAGGACTGGGGGCACACAGGAATAGCCCATGCAGAGGCAGCCAGATGTGGAGCTGTGCCAGGTGAATTGAGATGTTAAAGATGTACAACCATTCCTCAGCCACAACTCCCACTGATGGCTGAAGGCTTTGCATACTCCTTGTGCTGATTAAGTCATCTGACCATAAACATCACATTTGGGAAATGAAAATGCACTGGCACAGGTTCAGCTCCTGCATCCTGCACCTAGTGCTGCTTCCCAGGAGCTCAGTAAGGTCAGCCAGGGGAAGCTCAGCTCCCTCAGGCAGCTGAGTCCCCGGGGGAATGATGCCTCAACTGACTGCAGGAAGCTCTGGGATTCAGAATCTGCCTGGAGCAGGAGGAACTGGGATTCAGTGGCAAATTTTCTGCCTTCCCTTTAGGGGACAAAGGAGGTGAGAGTAAGATTTAGCCTGGATAAAGCTGTTCTTCAGGGATTCAACTTGGAGACATGTCTCCAAGCCTGAATTCTCAGCACTGTAATTAGTGACCCATCTAATTGGAATGAATATGAAATGAAGAGTTGATGGGCATTGCCTCCAGCTCTGAGAAAGGATTTGCTAGCACTGGAGATGAGGTGCCAGCTGTGTTGAAGGGGATGGTTCAGAGATGAACGTCTAACTGGAGAGTTACATGCAGCAATGTCACGAGCATTTAAAAGTTGATTTATTTGGTCTCACAAACCGCCCTAGAGATCAAATTTCCCCAATTTATCCAAGCAAGTCAATGGCTGCACTAACTACTCCTGTGCTGAAGGGAGCCCTAAGCAAAGCACAGAAGATTACTGGTCGTTTGTCAATCTGCTCCCAAGCACACAAAACACCCTACACACAGAATAATTCTGAATGCCTTGCTTGTGTCATCTTTGGGCATTCAGTGGTAGCTGACTCCTCACCTGCTGCTTAGTTAAGCCCCTCTACAAGGTGCAGCTGTCCTGTAGTGACCTGGTGTACCTAATACACCAGATCTTCAGAATAAAGCACTAGCACTTATTGATGTGATGCTGGATTTGGTATTGTTTCCTCTTCCCCAGGTGTGCCAGCTGCCCCAAACCGCCCCATTGCTCAGGAGAGAAGCTGCACCTCTGTGATCCTGCGCTGGCTACCCCCAACCAGCACAGGCAATTGCACCATTTCAGGCTACACGGTGGAGTACAGAGAAGAAGGTAAGTGGTGTGAGCTGTGCTTGCTGGCTGTGAGACTTAGAACAAGGTAAGCTTCCTTTATGACAAAACAGGTCCCAAAATCATCCTTGTCACCACTGGCATGCCACTAATTGTAGCTTACAGATATCAAAGTCTAAGGCAGAAAGAAGCCCTTCTATCATCCAGTCCAGACTTTCATCTATTACAGATCTTTCTGTTTCCTCTGGTCACTTATGACAAGTAAAGTGTGCTAAGCTAAAACATATCCATCTTTTTATTATTTGCATTTTACCACCATCCTTTCTGGTAGGTGCTTCCCAGAAATGCAAAACCTATTAAATGCACTGTCTTCCCAATATGCACAGGCATATGCTCTTGAAAAGGGCATTTGAAAGTATTCATAACCCTTTTTTCATTCTTCCTGCAAAGGTGTGAGGGTCCCTGGGCAGTAAACCTTGCCTTAGGCACATGGCCTCTGTTTTTCCCCCTTCATCCTTCAAAAAATCCCACCCTATTTTAGTAAGTGTGCAAACCTAATCACTCCATCATACTAATGCCTTCTCCTAGTGAATATTTTATTTTGACCCTCACTGTGTCATCAGTGACTGGAATTTTTGTAAAAGAATAAAAGCTCCTTTATTAAGAACGATGACCAAAATAAACATTAAAAAAGCCCAGCAGTGTTTCCAGTATTCCTCCCACTTCAAAGGTAAAACTGACTCTTGTAAAACCAGCCATTACCTTGTGAAACCTGGAAATCAGAATCTGTCCACAGGACGCACAAAATAATTGGGTCATGTTAAATAATGTAGGGGTAAAATGCCCTGAACTCACTAAAAAAGATAAAATTCTTGAAGAAATCTCCATCTGTGACAGGGCTCTGTGTTCCAGGGGTCCTTTTCTGTTCTCTGATGCTCAACAGATTAGTATGTACTGGTCCTTTGGTTGCCACAGCATAGGCAGTGGCTGGGTTTGACAGGAGCAGAAACACATGACAGAGTCACACATTTCTTTGCTGCAGTTCTGCTCACCTGCAAGCTGACTGTGTTAAGCATCAGAAAGCTGATTCTTCTCCTGCAGCTGCAGCTTTCACTGAAGCCACCACGTCTTCATCTGCAAAAGCATTTGGATTGCACTGATGCCCTGTCTCAGCTTCATCTCCCTTGCCCGTGGTTTTGGGGTTTTTTGCAGTATTTCTGCTAGTGTTTCTTTCATAACAGAGCTGTCATCAAAACAGCCCTCCCCTTCTGTCTTATCACACTGCCCTGAGACATCACTCGTAGCTCACAGCCACTGACAAAGTGCTGGAGAGATCAGCTTGTCCCTGGGCTGAGCTTTTTCCATCATTATCCTGAGTCAACTGAGGGGCATTTCCTTCTTTTCTCATTTAGCCAGATGGGAAGGTGGCTGCAACACAAAATAGCTTCTTGTGATCCATTTCTGGTTTAACAATCTGCTGTAACACTGCCTCTTAAAAACCCTGTAGATTTTACCCTGCCAGGGTACTGCCTAGCTGGGCAGAGAAAGCCTCACACGGGGACGGCTTCCCTCAGCTCCCCTTCTCTCCCTCTGTCCAACAGGCTCACAGGTCTGGCAGCAGTCAGTAGCCTCCACTTTGGACACGTACCTGGTCATTGAGGACCTGTCCCCAGGCTGCCAGTACCAGTTCCGAGTGAGTGCCAGCAACCCCTGGGGGATCAGCTTGCCCAGCGAGCCCTCCGAGTTCGTGAGGCTCCCGGAGTACGGTGAGTGCGCGCTGCAGGGAGGGACTGACACACACGGGAACCCACCTCTGCTCTCTGTGCCTTGTTGCGATGGGTCCTCATAAAGTCAGGGATGCTGGACCAACTAGGGATGTAAGAAAAAGCCTGGGAGGTGCTCAGAGCATCTCTTGGCCCCAGAAAGGATTTTTGTGTCTTTACCTCCATCCAGGCTCAGAGCCTGCCTCTGCCACAGAGGCTGTTGCAGATTCTGAGCAGGTCCCTGCTTTCTATCCCAAAACTAGTTATTGTCTTTATCTCTGCCCAGCAGGCTCCATGTCCTGGCTGGTATCTGTCCTGCCTTTGCAGCAATGTTAGCAACAGCTGCAGCTTCTGCTGGGCAGCCCAGCTGGGGGCTGCAATTCCACTTGCTAAATATCCCTCTTTAGCAATGCAGCTGGAATGGGAATGCTGTGATGGAGACAATTCCCAAGCACTCAGTGCTGCAGGAATTTGGGGCACAGCTCACTCTCAGGTGCTGTGAGCAGAGCCCACTTTTCCCCATGTTTTAGCAGCCCTGGTGTGCAGCTAGGTCTGTGACTGGCTTGGACAGCTGGTGCTGGATGGGGCGAGAGCTCACACAATATAGCTCTACCCCCTGTCTCTGTGGCCCTTTTCAGCCCAAAACTGCAAGGACAGTTTTGTATCCCCCTCTTCCATACCTTCCCTTGGGGAGCTCTGCCTTTAGTGGTCCAACTCACTGGACCTGTGCCTGAGCAGTATGAAACTGGATTCCTAATGGTAATGTTTCCTGTCTCAATAATAAAGTCTCACATAGTTTTCAAATATGCTGTTCATAGTCCACAGCAAACTGTCTTTATGCCTTCTTGACTGTTCTTTGTTCTCTCAAAGACTCTGCTGCCGATGGTGCCACTATTTCATGGAAGGAAAACTTTGACCTTGCCTATGCAGAGCTGCATGAGATTGGGAGGTAATATTAACCCTGCTTATCTCTGCAATAAAACACTCAAACAATGGCTTGAAGCTTTTTCCTTGGTGGGGAGTTTTGGTTATGTTTGTAATTATCTTGAAAACTGCTGCTCCTTTCAAAGAGCATTGCATACCAGATACTGATGAAAATACTGACTAAATTCAGTTTTTCAAGATAAGTTCTGATTTGAGAATTGCAGATTGGCAAACTGGTGAGCAATTAGGCAGGCAGATCTCTGGCAGATGGTATCTTTGTCATCTCTGATTTGAGGTCCTGTTTTGAAGTCATGACGATTTACTGGCTCTGGATAAGCTTAATCTCAAAGACTGAGTTTGCCAAAACACTTGAGCATGTGACTGACTTATCTTTGCTGATTGGGAGGGTGAGTTGAACAGAGCCTAAATAGGAGCTGCACATTTTGTCAGCCCTTCATGCTCTCCACAAATAACAGATAAGGGGCATGCAAATAATTCAGATTAATGCAATTATTTCTTCAGTTCAGATGTCAGAGACAATTCTGGGGCTGAAAGGACAGGAGTCCCTCTGCTTCTGTAGAAAACTGGGAAGTATTACTAAGAGCTCAAGTTCAGCACATGGTTTCACTGGGTAGATTTACTTTCAGGAATGGCACTATCATCTCTAGAAGTTTCCTAAATGTTTTCCTGATAGCTTTTCTCTTAATTTCTTACTGCGTATCTGGAAAAAAACGAGACAAAATGGTAGGTCAGTGATTATTTAACATGGGTTTTCTTTTAGTTGTTTGAGAAGGTTTGGTGTCTTCAATAAAGCAGCTGGAGAAAGTAGACCCACAGCTACAATAAAAGGAGATAGAACCTGTAAAAGTGGCAGCAAATTGAACCCAGGGGAGGTTGTTAGAGGATATCAGTATGGCTGCACAAAGCAAAGTGACACTGTTTGCTCTCAGTGTTTTCTAATCCCCAAAGAATCTCTACACCCAGGGTAAGAGATGGAGGGCCTTTGTTGGAAAAGGTTATGAACAACTTGTTAAATCTGATGCCTTGTGAAATATTAATGTGATGAATCAAAAAAAAACCCTTTGAAAAACACTCTGTTATTGTGCTAAAAACTAGGCATGATTTATTCATGAAGCCACCTCATTATTTTGTTTTCTTTATAATTTCAGGGGTCGATTCTCCATAGTAAAGAAATGTGTCCACAAAGCCACCCGGAAAGATGTTGCTGTAAAATTCATCAGTAAAAAAATGAAAAAGAAAGAGCAGGCAGCACATGAAGCAGCTTTGTTACAACACTTACAGCATCCTCAGTACATCACGATCCATGATACTTACGAGTCTCCTACTTCTTACATCCTAGTTTTGGAACTGTAAGTATGCAGAGCTTGGATTCAAGTGTCTGGATAGGAATCACAGCCCTATTAAAGCCAAGAATAAAGATCACCCTGAGTCCAGCAGGGACAAGATTTTATGGATTGAGATGTCAAATGAAATAGCCATTTTCTGCAGTTTCCACTGTCTTTTCTTTACAGGAAGTAAGATTAAGAGGGACAAATAAAACTGCTTTCTACTTGGGTAAAGCTTGGATAATTTGTGCCACTGAAAAGCATCAGACCTACTTGGGCAGTTTTGTCCACTTTTTACATTTGAGTAGAAGTGTTTCAGCTCGATCAAAGCCTTCATCATTCTAATGCTTTTTGGTGAAAAGACCTGAAACAGCCATGCTTGTTCCATAAGAAGAAACAGCAACCAAACTCCAAAATGCTTTGCTACGGTATATCCAACGAAGTATATTTGGACTATTTCATTGTTTGGTTGTACAGATAAATAAACTAGGTGGAAAACTTTTATTGGGTTAGTTTTCCCACAGAAAATACTACCAGCTGAAAATGTCAATTATTTTTTTTCAGCAATTATGTAACCAGCTCTATAAATAGATGGATCCAAATAATTAAGAAGTTCTGTTTCCAAAGGGATCATCTCTGTCTATGGAATCTATCCTTAAGCAAATGAGTTTACTCTAAGACTGTTGCTAAATTTGTCAAAGTCTAGAGATAACAATTAAGGATTAATCATTCTACTACTTCCATGGCCTGCAGTATCTTGAGATATCATTAAATACTCGTCAGATCTTGCATTTTATTTTCCTCCCTTTTTTAGGTCACAAAGTTTATGTTGCAATTTTGTTTTCAGATATTAAGTGTTCCTAGAGATGCCATGTGATGTTTCATGCCCAGGGTTTGGTTTGTTTGTAGGATGGATGACGGTCGTCTCTTAGATTACCTGATGAACCACGATGAGCTTATGGAGGAAAAGGTGGCCTTCTATATAAGAGACACTATGGAAGCCTTGCAGTACCTCCACAACTGCAGAGTGGCTCACTTGGACATAAAGGTAGGAACAAATGAGAATGATGCTGTTATTCTGTGCCCTGGAACACAGAGTTCCCAGCTGTACAGACAGGGAGGAGGTGCAGCCTGTACCCCATGGAGGTGATCACTGAATGGACAAGCTGCTGATCAGAGAAAGGAGTTACTGACCTGCAGCAGCAGGTCTCTGCCTTCAGACAAGAAATACACCTTATCCCTTGATTCCCTGGTTTGATCCCAAGGGCTTTCTGGATTTAATGATCCAGAACGGGAAGGAGGATGTTGGAGAGACAAGAGTGAGATGTCACTAGCACCTGTCTGAAGGGAAACTATGAATAATTCTATGGAGTGTGGTTTGGGCTCACACTGTGCCAGCTCAGCCACCAACCTTCCAGAGCAGAGCTGGCTTCTGCCAGGCTGGCAGGGGCAAAGGAAAAGGAAAGCAGCATTCTACATTATGCTGGATAGCCTGAGAGGGAAACTGGGTGGGAAATACACCCAGGGAAGGGTTCAGAGGAAGAACAAAGGACAAGCTGCTCTGTGGACAAGAAATTGGGGTATTCTCTAACGTCACACTCAGACTAGTACAGCTTGTACCTGCTTTTGTGAGCACACATGGCTCACAGGAGGCACTGTACTATCCTGGATTTGGCATTGTACTCCTGTCCTCCCCGGCATCCCAGTTACCTTGGATGACAGAGAATTAGCCACTGAAGTTGTGGTAAGTGTTTCAAGTTTTGTGATCTGCAACATTGATTCTGGTTGCCCGGGATATCAGACAATCTATAACACTTTGTAGACCTAAATGACAATTAAAAATGGGGAATGAGGGATGAATTTAGCTTTCTTATATAGTGGACAATCCAGCTTCAAGGAGATTTATTCTCATCTCTCCAAGCCCCAGGCATGTCAGATAAAATGATACTTTCATTCTTCTTCTGCCTCTACCCCTCAAAAAAAATTCCATTTGTACAGGAGCTTATATGAGAATTACACACAAAAGGCTACATCATCCTCGTTTCTTTCTGTGCAACTGTTTGTATTTTTTGCTCTATTTATATGACCTGTCAAAAAGTAGGTATTACTTGGAGGTAAGAAACTGCAATGAATTCTCTGTTTCATCATAAACAAAGAAACAAGGTGGAAAGCTAATTTTCTGTGACCTATCTGCAGTTCCCCTGAATGAGAGATGCTAAATAAAGCACCTTCTGTTGCTAAGTGGGAAGCAGGAGATGCACTGGTAGTGACAGCTGACCTGTCCATGGGTTGTGTTGTCCCAGGATCCTGCTCAAGGATGTGTTAATTTTGTCAATAGAGACAGCACAAGAGAAGAGCAAGTGGAGAGACTGAAACAGCCAAGTAGTCAACTTTGCTTTATATATATAGATAGATGAGAGAGAGAAAAAAAGAACTAGAAGGGTGCAAGAAGTAAATTCAGAAATCATCTCAGGGCAAACAAAGGAAGGATAATCCATGTTAAGTCCCTAGAAGAGTGTGTATAGGCAATGCTCAGTATTTCTCACTGAGAGAGAGAACCTTAAATACTGAGAGCTCCTAAAACAGAGAGAAAACCAATTGGGATTAAATGTAATTTTACTGTCTTGGAAAGCATGACTGTGTCCTGCTGTATGTAGGGGGGCACTGGCAGTTCCATGTCAATTGACAGCAACAGTAATGGCAAACACCAGTCCCTCCCAGGATAGTGGGTGCAAAATTGAACATTTACTTCATCGGGAACATTTCTGCTGCAAATTATGCACACTAACTTAGCCAGCTGTCATCTGAACAAATAAATATGGAATCTAAATAAACTGATCAGATATATATTATGTCTTATTAAAATTTAAAAATCCATCAGTGTTCTTAATCTGTAGAGATTTGTTTGGGAATATAAACTGTAAGTATTTGGGAGAAAGTGCAAAATCCCAGTGTTGCCCTAGTGCAAAGGAGGATCTTGTCATTGCAACTGCAGCATTGATCTGAATTTAGAGCAAACCCAGCTGAGCTGGGTCCTTATTATTCACTCTCCTGATCTCTCCCTTGCACATGTGATTAAATGCAAGTTTTGATTAGCTATTAAGCCTACATGAATCCTACATATTTTATTTGCCAAAATATAGTTATGATTAAGTTTATTTCATTGTCTTTTCAACAGCCAGAAAATCTGCTCATTGATTTGAGAATCCCAGTGCCTCGTGTCAAGATCATTGATTTGGAAGATGCAGTCCAGATCACAGGTCATTACCATGTCCACCACCTCCTTGGAAACCCGGAGTTTGCAGCCCCTGAAGTTATCCAAGGCCTTCCAGTCTCCCTGAGCACGGATATCTGGAGCATTGGGGTCCTCACCTACGTCATGTTAAGTGGTGTCTCTCCATTCCTGGATGAAAGCAAAGAGGAGACTTGTATCAACGTGTGTAGAGTGGATTTCAGCTTCCCACACGAGTACTTCTCCGATGTGAGCCACGCCGCCAGGGATTTCATCAACGTTATGCTCCAGGAAGACTTCAGGAGAAGGCCGACAGCAGCCACTTGTTTACAGCATCCGTGGCTGCAACCGCACAATGGCAGCTATTCCAAGATCCCACTGGATACCTCCCGCTTGGCGTCCTTCATCGAGCGCCGCAGGCACCAGTACGATGTGCACCCGGTCCCCAGCGTCAAGAGCTTCCTGCTGAGCAGGATGAACCCGGGCACGTAGTGTCCCATCCACGGGATCCCACCCTGCTGCTCCTGAGCCGTGTGCCGGGAGCGCCGCCGGGAGCACGCGGATCCGCCTGTACATATCCCATGTTCGGTTTGCATTTCACCAACTGCAGGGTGGGAATCACTGCAGACATGGCAATGGGACCAAGGCAAAGAGGGTGACAGCAACGGGGACATGCTCCCTCTCTCGGGGCACATGGTACTGCCACGTCCACTGCCAAACAAGGACTGCAGGAAGCAAACTGGGAATGACAGCCAAACTTGCAGTTGCCTTAATCTTTGTGAGGCAGCCTTATAAGAAATCTCCTTGAACTTGCTGAACTGAATTCAAAATGTACAGAAGACTAGAAGTAGAATAATAGGGGGGGAAGTGAGACCAGCTGACCTTAGCACGTACTGCAGAACTGGACTGGTCAGTTTTTGCTGAAATCATTGCAAGCCTGCTCCAGGTTATCAGTCATATTTCTCATGCCCCATATGCCCAGGTCTGCCATGATTTCAGTGGGGACTTTGCCTGCATAGGACATGCAAGATCAGGCTCCAGTCACTGCTGGATCAGCTCCCATGGTGGTGTGGCTCAGGAACACTCGTGTTGCGTGGTAGTGCTCAGACCAAAATCCTCCATTAAGGCCCTGCTTGGGCTTTCTGCTGTGTTAAGTCAACGTGCAGCACCTTTCAGAGCTACGATTAAGGCAATGAATTCACTGGAGCATACAGCTGGTTCTGACTAAGCACAATGGGACTATGGTGGGTTTTTTAAAAGCATTTTATACACATTGTACAGAAATCTTTTGCAAAACCTGTGCATTGAGAAAAGGCAGAGTCCAATTTTTGCAGTATCTGTAAACTAGATGATGATGGTGATGAAGACAATTTTTTCTATCACAGGTTTTCAGTATACATATATTGTATCATAGATATAAATATATATAAATATAAAGGATCCTGTTCCATTTCTAGCTTCAGAATGGCCCAAAGTCCATCTAAGCCTTTCAGAGTGCAGTAGGAGTGGTGAGTTCATTCTTGTGCTTACAGCTTGAAAATCGTTTTCAGTGTTTAAAGCATGTCATTTGTTTCATTTCCAAACTTGTAAATATCTCTCAGCCACCATCAGCACCTCATAACCAAAGCATTCATGAGGATATTTTTATGTCCAAAGCCTAATTTGTAATAAAAAATAATATTCACAATTAAAACATTTCTCTCTTGCAAGCCAAGTTGCAACATCATCATATTGATGTTACAGTGACAGAGCCAGCCTTAAGTGTAACCAACATAGGGAGTCTGCAGTGACAAATCAGCAGTTTGTAGGTTGGCCAAATCTTCCTTTCCAGAAATGGGACTGGAAGGGAAAACCATCTGGGACTTCCCCATCCTACTGCCACACCACAAAGCTCTACAGCCTTGTAGGGTTACAGTCAAAGAGATTTTTTTTCCCCTGGCATGTGGAGACTTTGTCTCGGTGCTGAGTACCATTTGTGTGTCTGTAATGGGAGATGGCAGTTGTTACCAAAGGTTTTCCTAAGGAAAAGGGCTTGATCCGACCACGTGTGCTCATACAGACTCTCTGGTAAGGGAGAGAGTCAAATCTCATTTACCATCTGAGTAACTGCACTGTGAGCCTGCAGGAGCAAGCGCTGTCTCTGCCAGTGGGTGGTGGAGATACCCTGCAAGTACTGTTAAATTCTCAGGGCTCTGATAGCCCTTTTTTGATCCACCTCCAAGCTCCCCTTCACAGCAGGGAGGAGACCTGGCCCTTCTCTTTGTGCTTGCTCTATCACTACACCAGAGTGGTCAGTATTTTGTTAGCGGAGAAGAGGCACAGCAAAAACCCTCAGCGCTCAGGACTGAGTGTGTGCAACAAAGAACAGCCCTTGAAATGGGGAAGCCACAGGCAGAGGGTGAGCCCAGGGGCCTCAGCAGAGCCAGAAGCAGTTCTGTGAGAGATCTGATACAGGGAGGGAGTGTGGAAAGGTTTGAAAGAGACAAGTGTTCACAGAAGGTTAAGCTTTTTGAAAATCATCTAGAACCTGTCTCAGTTCCTGTGTAGAGCAGCAGCTGATTTTCTAAGCAATCCAGCAGCACCTCCTAGATAAAGACCAGACTCTCAGAGCAACAGTGCAAAGTATGCAATTTCTTAGCAACTGAATACAGACAGCAGTCAAGGGGGTCTCTAATTACCACCAGCCTCAGGTACTTTCTCACTACAGGACTGTCTGTAATTCTTCCTATTTGTCAAAGCTGGCTCTTTGTGCTCTGATTGTGCTGCCCTTAAAAAAATGTTTGTGGAAGTGTGGTCTGTAAAACCCACAGCTTTAATTAGGCCCATGGGTACAGTTTGAGCCACAAGCTTTCTGCTTGGCATTAATACAAACAAATTCTCGTGTATCACATGAAATTTGGAGTTATTTAGCATTTTGTTTTTCTAGATCCTGCATTCATATGTCAAAGTACAACAGCAGACCCTTTGAATGCACAGGGGGGAAAAGCCAGACTGTTTAAGGTAATATTTAAGCCTCTCATTGCTATCAAATAATAGAAAAGAAAACCCAAAAGGCTGAAAGAGAGATGATATATGATTAGGTATTGGTGCTCAAATTCAAAAAAGACTCCTTGTTGAGAGAGCTGGAGGTCCTGAATTCTGAAGACGTTGAATGTTGTGGGGTCACTTTCTTTTGTGGTTTTGCTTTTTCCATATTCATGTTAGAACACCTCTTCCTGGACACCATTCTTCTTACAGCCCATTCAGGAATACTTGAACCAGTTAAAACTTCCATAAAACATTTGTAATTACCAATCGTTCTTGCTTTTGCCTGAATAATACCGAGTTGACATGCAATATTGCCATTTGATAAATGCAGAGGAAGTATCCTGACTTCACTCTTTCAAAGTGTTTTTCAGCCATCCTGTGGTGCCTCTGCAGATACAACAGGTCCTGTAACTCTGTTGAAAACCATAACTCCATTTTAAAGAGATTACAGAAGCTGAGTAAGTAGGCCTGGAGTGCATCTGCTGAGTAAGAAGCACCACAGCCAACCCCCTGTGTAGCATTCTCCAGTGACTGGATTTTTTGGTGCAGGAAATATTGTCTGTAACAAACACAGTTTCTCAGTGAAGTTCCCCAGAGAATATCTGACCCCAAGGGGAAGATTTCCACCTGCAGCTGTGTACCACTCAGGGTATTCCCAAGATGGCTTGAAAATGTGGTGGTAGCTGCACCCTTTAGCTCCTCCAGCAGCTTCCAGCCATCCAGGATGGACAGGAATCCTCAAACAGTGCACCACAAGCTGTGTGTGGAGTGGCACTGTGCACACAGCCACTGCCATCAGACATCTCCACAGTGCTCTTACTCTGCTCTGACTTCAAAATGTGGCTCACAGTGTCCCCAGGTGCTGGCTGACAGCAGGGCAGCAGCGAAGGTGCTGGTGACCCAGAGCCCAGACGCAGGGACATGGGGGGCTCCTTTTTTAAGATGGATTCATTTAATGAATGTGCAATGAGAAATTAACTCACCTCTCTCTCTGCTCCACTTGGAGCAGCCAGGCCAGGGCAGGAATTCTGCTGGCCAGTGTAAACTGCCAGCCCCCATCAGGTGTTGCTGCCCTGGGGGATGCCCCATGTACCCCCAGGCTGCCAAGCCCCCTGTGCATGGCACTGTTGGGGTGACACAGCCAGTGCAGGCTGGTAGACTTCAGTATTTAAAGCAGTCCAGGCTTTAAAATTTATAATATATCTCTCTTTTCTCAGTGATACCAACAATTCATTTAGTCTTCCTGCCCTTTCTTTTTAAAAGACTACGGATTGGGTTTTTCCAGTAACATGTATCTTTTTACTCCTAAGTTAATGCTGAGACAAAGTCTGTGCCCTCAGCTGACCCTGAGGCTGTGGCTTCAGTGGAGTTCATCAGCATTTCTGACAATGCTATTGGGCCTGTGCTGCAAATACTGTGCATAAAGGCTGAATGCAGAACCACACATTATAACCTGACTATATATAACCCTATTTTAATACCCTTGCAATGAGGGGACTGTGTCAAGTAAGCTAAGGTAATATAAATTTCAGAGACAGATGTAAAGGCTTCTCTGTGCACATAAAGCTCTAGCAGAAAATTTACATGCACAGGGGCTCACCACCTTTGTTTGTTCTTGTTTCTTTCACAGCAGAGGTGGATTCTCCTCTAACACAGGGCTTGGGTTTATTTTTGAGCTCATTCACTCATGTCCCATCAGAAAATGGTGCTTTCCCAAGGAAACAAAATCAAATCCCATTTTACTAGGCTGACTGCACACTGCCATCAAGTGATGTACTCTCGTTCTGGGATCTGTATAGTGCTGAGTGTTTCCATAGCGTCAGGATGCTGAATGTTTGCTGTAACTGTAGTCTTTATTATGGAGCTAGTGAAAAACCAACATCTCTACTCAAGCCATATTTCACCTTCATGTCCAACTTCTGATGCTGGTGCTTTTACTTCTCTTTCTACCAAACTGTTCAACACTGCTCTGCCACTGAGGTCAATTTGCTGATAACTTTTGGAAAGCAAATGCAATAGCAAGTGCAAAAAAAAAAAAATCAATCTCAGACTTATTCACCGAGATAAGAGCAAACAGTTGGAACGTATTGATGCTTTTCAATTCTAGCAACAATCCACTGAAGGAGGAAAAAAGAAACAGTATTGCTAACAGCTCAGCATTTTCAAGGTGCAAAGTAATTCCACAGCCTTAATTATTTCAGTGTATTGCTGGTCTGCCTTAAATGTATCTTCAGTTTTATTGCGGATTTCATTTGTATGCACACAATGTTGGTTTGTAAAGGCAGGTTTGTAAATATTTCCTTTGTAAGTCTGATCACTCATGTGTACTGTTGTGAGGTGACTACTTGCTGTCCCATGTTGTTGTTACTATACTGCAGTATATATGATCATCTACAGATGTAGCTTCGACCTGTACATCTCCTGTCCTTGCATTCCCATAAATAGAGTATACTAAAGACTCCGTTTCTGGGCTTTTTTTGATTAAATAAAATTATTCCAAGAAGACTGGGTCAGTCTTATTTCACACATGTGGCATCTTTCTGAGTGAGGCCTTGGAGACTCAGGGCTGGCTGAGGGCTTTGTTCAGCTCATCTTTTCCGGGGGGACCTCTCAGGGGCCCAGCCCGCGGGACTGTCATCCACCGAGCCTTTTGGGAATCACCGGGGAGCCGGGGCGGCGAGAAACCCTCGGGGCACACCAAACCCTCTGCCCCGGCGGCTTCTGCTTCCCGGGGAATGGGGTGACGAGAGAACGGGGAAAAGCGCAGGGCAGAGCGGGCCTCAGGGAGCAGCGCCGGCATGGCGCAGTGGCCGCCGCCTCGGGGATGGGAAGCGGGACGGAGCACACGGATCCCGGGATGGCGCAGCCGGGTTCGCGGCACAGGGAGGGGATGCGGGGCGGCCACACCGCCCCCGTGTCCGCACGGTGTCCCCGCCCCGCGCTCCTCCCGCTCCGCATCATCTCGGCGCGCCGGGCCCGGCGATGGCGGCGGGGCCTGCGGGGGCCGCGGCGGCGGCGCTGAGCGGGGCGGGCGCGCTGCGCTTCGGGCACTTCGTGCTGAAGAGCGGCCGCTCGTCCCCCGTGTACATCGACCTGCGCGGCCTCGTGTCCCACCCGCGCCTCCTCCGGCAGGTGCGGCGCGGGGAGCCCCGCGTGTGTCCCGGCCCGGGGCGGGTCCCTCACGGCCCTGGGGCGGCAGCGCTGCCGCGGCTCCCCGGGCCGGGCTCCGCAGGGTCGGGTCGGGTCGGGTCCTGTCAGGCAGAGGGGTTTTCATTGATTTATTCACGGTCGCTCCAGCCTGGCTCTTACAAAGCGTTTGGTTTCCCTTTCCAGGTTGCAGGGCTTCTTTTCCAGGCAGCCCAAGATGCGGGGGTGCGGTTCGACTGCGTGTGCGGCGTTCCGTACACGGCGCTGCCGCTGGCCACCATCATCTGCTCGGAAAATCAGGTTCCGATGCTCATACGGAGGAAGGAGGGGAAAGACTACGGTAAAGCCTTCGAATCAAGAGTTTGCAATTTACCTTGTTTGGGGAATGACTTTATGTACTTTGTGGTTCTTTTGTAAGGCACAGCATCTCCCTTCCAGTTTAATTGCAATTTAAGAAGCAGGACCTTTTCCCCCTAAGCAAACCTCCCACAGCATTCCAGCCTGATCAGCCTCTCCCAGCTGGTTGCTGTTTAGCCTGCAGCTTTAGTCCTGCTGTAGGAGATTTGGAGACTCTTGAAGGGTGTTTTCTGTTTCTTTGGTTTTGTTTGTGAGAGTTTGGTTCTTTTCCTTAGTAATGTCTCTCTTTTTTTTTGTCGTTTTGTTTCCTTGTTGCTCTTGCTATGGTTCTGGGTTAGTGGCCTCATCCAGAAACAAGGATTTATAACTCAGATTCTCCAGCGTGCTGAGACCAGAGCCACATTTCGCTCTCAAGTAGAGCTTTTTGCGTATTGACACCAAAAGGAGCCTTTCTAGTCTCTTCTTCATTTATCTCTCAAACCCTTTTTTCTTTCATTATCCTGTGGTCCTGTAATCAGTGAGCCAGGTGAGCAGCAGTCCCTCCCTACTCAATGAACCATGTATGTGGGAGAGCAGACTGAAGCATTAACCTGCCATACAGCCATAGGATTTCTACTTATCCTCTTCCAACAGTGTGTAATTAGAAAGTACACTTGTCAAAACTAAAAGCTGCTCCTGTGTCAGGCAGTGGGACAGCCATGGAAACATTTGCTGTTCCTTCTTGTGACAGCGATTAACTGCTCCTGGGAAAGCCAGGCATCCCTTTGTCGTTGCCTCCCAGGAGGCTTTTCAGGGATGTGTGCCTGTTGTTAGTTAGGACAAAGGCACTTGAGGCTTTACGCCTTCTAATTGTTCTAACAGGCTTATTAAGCACACAGTGCTGCCTGCAGAACAAGGGACATGCTGAAGAGTGCCAGTAACTTGGCTGCCTTAAAGATGTTTTAAATAACAAGAGAATCATTTTGTAAGACTGAGCTTTCAAATCATGACAATACTAAACTTCTGAAGTAATCTTATTCAAACATTTGAATTGGTGCTGTTAGCAGTGTGTCAGTTTTGTTGTGGAATATAACTTCTGGAAACATAAAGATTATTTTATCAGCTTGGAGAAGTAACAGTCTTTATGAACTGAATTACAGATCAGTGAGTGAGCTGTGATAAGTGGTATCATCTAGTAAAGTTTTGATTCTGTTAAAGTTTTCTTGGGTTGTCCAACCTTCCTTAATTTGGTGGAGTGTTTGCTCTTTATTTTTCAGGTACCAAGCGGATGGTAGAAGGCACCATTAATCCAGGAGAGACATGCCTGATCATTGAGGACGTGGTGACAAGTGGATCCAGTGTGCTGGAAACTGCAGAAGCTCTGCAGAAAGAGGGATTAAAAGTCACAGATGCCATAGTGCTGTTGGACAGGGAGCAGGGTGGGAAGGCCAGGCTAGAGGAGCGTGGAATTCGCCTGCACTCTGTGTGCACCTTGTCTGGGGTGCTGGAGATTCTCCAGCAGCGGGGAGAAGTGGCTGCTGAGATGGTGGAAAAGGTGAAGAAGTTCATTGAGGGAAATGTGTTTGAGGCAGTGGCTCAGAATGGTGCTGCTCCTGTGAAGAGACTCTGCAAGGAGCTGAGCTTCAGCGCTCGTGCCCAGCTGCCAGGGCTGCATCCTACTGCAGCCAGGCTTCTCATGCTCATGGAAAAGAAGCAAACAAACTTGTGCCTTTCTGCTGATGTCACCAGCCCCAAGGAGCTGCTGCAACTAGCTGCCACCCTGGGCCCCAGCATCTGCATCCTGAAGACTCATATAGACATCCTGAATGATTTCACCCAAGAGGTAGTAAAGGAGCTGAGAACGCTCACAGATCAACACGAATTCTTGATTTTTGAAGACAGGAAATTTGCAGATATTGGAAACACAGTCAAACACCAGTATGAAGGTGATTATTATCAAGCTGGATTTACTATAACTTTGCCACTGGTGTGTGTAACTGCAGTACTGGCACAGGTTGCCAGGAGAGAGCATGGAATCTCCAGCCTTGGGAAATACTCAAGGGGATAAGACCCTGAGCAATCTGACCTAGCATTGAAGTTAACCCTGCTGAGAGGGCATGACCTCCTGAGGTCCCTTCCAACCTCAACTTTTTTTATGAATCTGTGGTTGTGCTCAGTAAGTACTTCTGAGTTGTGTGCCATGAGAAACTGCTGCCTGCTGTTATTGTAGTGCTCGTGTGCCCAGCATGGCTTTCTTTTGATACTCCATCTGCAGCTGTAGAACTGCTGTTCTCTTTCCCTGATCCTTATGTCCCATATGATCTGTGTGCTGTCTGGGAACCCAGATAAGCATCTGTGGACAGCAGATTTCTGGGCTACCATAAAAGTCTCAGTAAATATTAAAGGTGAGACACTAACAAGTGTTTGTGAAAAGTAAACTGGAAGATTACGTTTTGTGGTTAGGCAGCTGTCAGAGCTGTCTGATGAGACTGAGCTTGTAACAGTCAAGCTTCAGCAGTAAAACTGTCTTTTAAATATGTGAGTGATAAGGTGTGCAGCTGTTTCTGTCCAACTTGTGCTTCCTGTTTAGCACATTTCTGACAGTTCCTTGCCTCTTTGTGTCTTCTCAGGTGGCGTGTTCAGAATCGCGTCCTGGGCGGACATCGTCAATGCCCACGTGGTTCCAGGCTCTGGGGTTGTGAAAGGCCTGAAGGAAGTGGGTCTTCCTCTCCAGCGTGGCTGTCTCCTGGTTGCAGAGATGAGTTCCCAGGGGTCCCTTGCAACGGGTGAATACACAAAAGCTGCAGTAAGTGGGCAGTCTTGTGTCGGGATAAAAGCTTGTCAAGTGTGGCAGGAGGTTTTATCTGTTTCTAATATTTGCACTTCCAAAAGTCCCTCCATCTCTATTACAGGTGTTTGTTTTTTCCTTGGAGACTCAGGCATATGACTGTGTGGTGTTCAAAGGTTGCAGCTGTAGGCCAGTGATGAGAGATGGTCAGAGTGGTCAGAGTTCACACTTGGAACTCTAGTGCATGTTGCGTTTTCTATTAGCATCCTCTCCTTATTTTTTTTGTTTCTTTCTTTAAGCAGTGCATTTCTAATTAGTTTAAATCCATTTGCAGTATTATTTATAACATAAAAAGAAACACAACATTCACTTTTCTGCCAGAGAGGAGTGACTTTACATTGGGAAAGCAAGAGGTGTTTCATACCCCCACCTCACACAGCTTGAAGTGTCAGAGGGTGGATGAGAAACAGATTGCTAGGCCAGCTGAGTTTTAAGTATATCATTTGTAATTGTTCACTGATCTTTTTCAGGTGCAGATGGCTGAAGAAAACTCAGATTTTGTTTTTGGATTCATATGTGGATCTAGAGTTAGTAATAAACCAGAATTTCTTCACTTAACCCCAGGAGTGCAGCTGCAAACTGGAGGTAACTTTTTCTGAAATATTTTTAGTCTGTTTGTAAGTACAGAAGTGATCTAGTCTCCAGTGAAAAAGTGGCTTCTGAAGAGGGTTTGGATGCTGATTCTCAGCTGGGAGGAGTCTGTTTCCCAGAGGGCTGTCTCCCATATTTCTGGATATGCTGATTCCTTTCTTGGGAGCTCTGGAAGGCAGTGAGCAGGTTATACAGCATTTTTTCCTGTTTTGAGGTCTGTGTGTACCATCAAGCACATTCCTGAGCACATGTAAAATGTCTTCAGATAGGTGTTAGATGTAAAACTATACAGTAGTAGTAAAAAAACATAATAAATAGAGAAGTCCAGCTGAAACACTTGGTATTGATATAGATGCAGTATCAGTGAATGGAAAGTCTTTGTGCTGACTTAAGAGGTTATCTTTCTAGCAGATAGGGGAGATATGTTTCTCTACAATACTTAATTTTTATGAGACCTAAACTGAAATCATAAGCTTTTACATTAATGTTTGGGGGTTTTGCTTGCTTTAAGCAGGCTGAGGCTTATTTTGTGGTGCTTCTTTGAGTAACTGTTCCATCTATACTGATTGGTAAACCAT